AAGAAGGTACCCGTAATTTTCGGAAATTCCCACATGACTGGGAGTCGACAGGTGCTTTCTAGGTCCGAGGTAGGGCATTGGGATGTTGTATGTCTTCCCTTGTGGGGCTTAACACGATCTTATTTCCGAAAACTTTTCAGAGGCTTGAAAGGGCCAACCTAGCTTTGCGACATCATCACAGTAACAGTTGAGCTAGGGTTCTCTATGTATGAAGGACATCGGAATCATGATGTTGCAACTTTCTGTCTACTGCAAACCTTCCTTCCAGCTAGGCTTTGCTTGTTCCACGAGCCCGATGCCTCTTCACTAGAAACTGTGCCTGAAGAGAGACTCTATGGAGTCTTGCACTATGTCTTCCTAAACTCTAAACCTGGCCTCTCAGGGGTATGGGACTCTGTGGGAAGTTGCATGCGTAAGAAGGCCCTGTCCCGCGCCGGCACCTTCCGCTGGTCTGCAAAGCCCAGGGGCCCATAGAGACGACCATTACTATTACGGAAGTAGGTTCCAAGAGACCATCCTAATAATGGTCTCGGGGGACCTGATTCCGTAATAGTAGTATATATGGACCCTCGCGCAAGGTACATCGAGGTCATCGCGGATCTTGATGCACGAACGGCAAAGGCCCCTATCCCAATCGTGCGTTTAGGGTTGCCTGCGACAAAAGCCCCGTTCTCCAAATCAGGGCCCCATTTAGGGTCCCTTTCATGAGGGTGCCGTATTCTTTTGGGGACCCAAACAGGGACCCCTCTCAACAGAGCCCTTACGGCGCTTCCAAGCGGATGGCAAGGGGTATGTTAAGATCCTGAGCCGTACAGTGCAGAGGGTACTTGGCGCCCCTAAAGTAAAAGCCAGAAAGTTGGAATATGATGATCCTAAACCCTTTATGGTAAATTACAAGGTATCCTACCCTGAATCCATATTCCAACTTTCTGGAGTTCCCTTTAAACCGCTTGACCCGTAGTTGGTCCCGAATCTGAGGCCCTGAACCCAAAACTGATTCCTCAACGCGGGCTTAGGGTTTAGGCTTTACCCAAAGGCCCCAAAGTAGTTCCTTTTTGGGGTTCGTATATAGAATCCTATAAGGCAATCCCAAAAAGGAACTACTTTGGGGCCTCTGGAGGGTTTATAGGGTTTAGAAGCAAGCCCGCTGCAAAAGGGTTTAGAAGGAAGCATTAGCGGAGATTCCAAGTTGTGGTTCCCTTTCCTCTGCTGCTGAGCTCTGTCCCGCAGAAGCTGATAGAACTATACTGTGAGTAGTCTAAGTAGTTAATTAATTAGTAGTTTCAGAGCTTGCATCGTGTTCGGTACTGATACTGCGGTTATCATTTTCGTTGTTATTGCCTTCACTATAAAGGCTGTTCTTGTCTCCAACAGCGGTCCCCCATGTCGATCACGGTGGAAGTTGGACTGCTTAGCGGCAGGAAAGTTACGTTGGAAGCAACAGTGGCTGATAGCCTGGCAGGCTTGAAGCAGCGGGCACAAACTGCTCTTGGAGTCGGCAGAGGGCGGCTTTTGAGCTCAAGCGGATGTCTTTTGGATGGGTTTGCTTCGCTTGAAGAAGCCGGGCTGGAGAACGGCGATTCACTGACGTTACAATCAAGCACAGTGCAGGTAAGCAGCAGCTGGAGCGCCTTCGCTGCAATTCTTGGAGATGGATCTGCCGCGATGTATGGGCACCATTGTGGCTTTGTGGTGGTGGATACAATGGAGGAGGGCGGTGACAGAATGGCTGTGCAGGATGGACTGACGAATGTGCAGCAGATTCAAGTTAGCATGAGTGCTTTTGCCGCCACTCTTAGTGATGGATCTGTCGTGACCTGGGGTCATGCTGACTGCGGTGGTGACAGCAGGGCTGTGCAGGATCAGCTGAGGGATGTGCAACGGATCCAAGCTACTGAAGGTGCTTTTGCCGCCATTCTTGGTGATGGATTTGTCGTGACCTGGGGTGTTGCGGGCCGCGGTGGTGACAGCGGGGCTGTGCAGAGTCAGCTGAGGAACGTGCAGCAGATCCAAGCCACTTCACTAGCTTTTGCTGCCATTCTCGGTGATGGCTCTGTCGTGACCTGGGGTGATGCAGACTTTGGTGGTGACAGCAGAGCTGTGCGGGATCAGCTGAGAAATGTGCAGAAGATCCAAGTCACTATGAGTGCTTTTGCCGCCATTCTTGGTGATGGATCTGTCGTGACCTGGGGTGATGCGGGCCACGGTGGTGACAGCAGCGCTGTGCAGGATCAGCTGAGGAACGTGCAGCAGATCCAAGCCACTGAAGTAGCTTTTGCCGCCATTCTCAGTGATGGCTCTGTTGTGACCTGGGGTGATGCTGAGCGCGGTGGTGACAGCAGTGCTGTGCAGGATCAGCTGAGGAATGTGCAGCAGATCCAAGCCACTTCCGTCGCTTTCGCCGCCATTATCGGTGATGGATCTGTCGTGACCTGGGGTGATGCGAACTGCGGTGGTGACAGCAGGGCTGTGCAGGGTCAGCTGGGGAGCGTCCAGCAGATCCAAGCGACTTTTGAAGCTTTCGCCGCCATTCTTGGTGATGGCTCTGTCGTGACCTGGGGTGATGCGAACTGCGGTGGTGACAGCAGGGCTGTGCAGGATCAGCTGAGGAGCGTCCAGCAGATCCAAGCCACCATCAGAGCTTTTGCCGCCATTCTTGGTGATGGATCTGTCGTGACCTGGGGTGATAAGAACTGCGGTGGTGACAGCAGTGAAGTGCAGCTGAGGAATGTGCAGCAAATTCAAGCATCACGTATTTCTTTTGCTGCGGTTCTTGGAGATGGTTCCGTCTTGACCTGGGGGGATGATGGTGATGATGATGCTTGATACCTGAATAAGTTTTTGCTGGCTTTTGTGGCGATGGATTTGTCGCAACTGGGGTCATGGTGGCCACGGGGAGCCAGCAGTGCGGTACAGGAACAGTTGCACTTAACAGCAGACATCAGACCCTTATTGTTGTCCGAGTGCGTGAAAAGCTGATGTACGCTTTCTGTGGCGAGCGATGGGATGTGTGTTGGTGAAGACCGATGATGTAAGCGAACACTGAACCTGATGAAACATGAACCCGAGGCCCTACATACACCCTGAACCCTACAAATATTGTGTACATATCTTGATACTTGAGTTCTATTTGCATTCATGTTTATACTTATAGTTATTTATAAATTAAAAACAAGATACATATATATATATATATATATATGTATACAGCTTTATATACAAGTATATATATATATATATATATATATATATATATATATGCAGCTGTATATATATATATATATGTATGTAAATATCACTTTTATCAAATTTGTTTGTGGTTTATTACATTTGTATACACATATGAACCCTATATTATATCGACACACTCTTGAACTCCAGCTCTGAACTCCAACACCCGAAGATTTCGACTAGAAACACTCTAAACAATAACAGCCCCCAAGCCCGCACGGTGTAGGGTCTAGGGTTTAGGGCGTACCCTCCCCGAATCGCCAAGGAGGGGCCCGGACCTTCCTAAATTGAAAGTTGCGGGTTTAGGGTTTAAGGTTGCGGTTTTTTTTAGGCCGTGATGCAAGGATCTGCCTAGCCCCCAGGCCCAGTTGCAAAAACAGGGTTTTGGGGTTTAGGGTTAGGTTTGGTTCGGAGTCCCAGATGCAAGCGGGCGGAGATTTCAGGAGTTTTAAGACATCTATAGGGACCGAACAGGCATGTAACATTACGCGACTTGAACTTAGTTCCCCAATACCCAACCTTTAAACTTTTTGCATTCTTCTAGTTTAGTAGTGACCAGAAAGTTTACCCTTCTATTTCTGTGGCTTGTAGGGGAAGTAAGTGAATAGTTTGCACAACTTCTCTCTCTCTCTCTCTCTCTCTCTCTCTCTCTCTCTCTCTTATCTCCAGATCGAGACATCTGTAGCATAAGAACCCCCGGGACCCGAGTCCAGCATTCAGGCTTCTATGTTGACCACACCTCAGATATGCTCACAGAGTCCAGTGACAGTACTGGAATATCCTGCAAGCACAGTACGAAAGCCCCTGCAACTCAAGCAATGTTCTGTAAGTAAGGGGCTATTAAATCCCAAAGCCGTAAAATAAACGCCTTCATCTTTAGGCCCGCAACCCTAACACCTGCACACAACCTTGTCGACACCTCTAAAGCGGAAAGCAGCCAACGGGGCAATAGGGTTCATGGGACTCGGTCGAGTTGGCAGTCGTTGGAGTTCACAGACGCGTTTGGAGGGGGCGGGTCAAGTTTTTGACATAGAGGTTTAGGTCTGCGAGACTGTCGGTTCAGGCTTAGGGGTTTCGGGTTTTGTTAGGGTTGAAGGGGTTTTAATTTGGGTTGAGGGTTTAGGGTTGTAGTGTTTCGGTTCAGAGTGTTGAGGGTGTAAACCATGAACGAGCGTGGTAGCTAGACGGTGACCAGTAGCCGAAATGCGTACTGAAGACCTCCATCAAGGAGCAGACGGTTGCAATGTGAGTTCTGGTCTATCCCGACACCCCGAAACCCCAATCCTGAAGCCTCAGACCGTAAAAGAGAACCCGTACCCAGAGACTCCAATATCCCTTAATTAGGGACTATGCCTTAAATTATAGTAGGGATCCTACTATAATTCAAGGCATATTCCCTAATTAAGGGATATTGGAGTCTCTGGGTAGCACCCTGGACCCAGGAGGCGTAAACCCTACCCTACACTTTGAACCCTGGCCCTCCCGGATCTCTACTTGGAGGGTCGGGGGACTTAGTAAGTAGGGGCTCCTTTAAAGGGGATTCTAAGGGTTCCTTTAAAGGGCTCTATAGGGGTACTATAGGATTTAGGGTTGAGGGGTTTAGGGACTTAGTAAGTAGGTGGTAAGTAGACTTATAAGTACCCTAAACGGGACCCTAATTGGGGTTACGGTACTTATAAGTCTATAAAACATTCAGTTACTAAGTCCAGCGGCCCTCCAAGTAGACCCTATCAGCCCCATCCCTACAGTACCATCCGGAAGCGGAGGTGATGGTCGGTGATTCCAGAGAGCAGATGGTGGAGGTCGGAGGGAACTTCCTGCAGTTTTCAGCGGGTTCTATCAGGGCTCTGGGGGTTTCACTTTGCTTTGTTTCTTATACTCTAAACCCTAAACCTCGTAATTTCGTGCTTATATCCTTTGGATACCAATTGATATTGAGGTACGCCTGTGTATCGTTGCGTAGTGCTTTGTCATGACCGTAGTTGTCGGGATCCTCGGCGTCTGTCTTACATGGCCTTAACTTCTGTTGAGCTGTTTTCTCAGGATGCTCTGGATCTCGACTCACTCCCAATGTGGAGTGTTTGTACACATGTGCTCAGTGGCTGCCGATAGTGACACTATTTTGGCTGTTTGCCGTTGTTCTGGGGCCACTGAGTGCATGCTGTAGAAATCCGACCTGCCTATCAAGAACCTCGTCTGGACGTGTCCGAGTTGCGAGAGCGTAAACCTTACGAGGGCTCCATTGGAGCTGCAATGGACCTATATAACACCATGGGGTTTCAAAGTGTGGTCAAAGGGCTCTATGGGACCTGATGGGGTTTTACTTCAAGGATCATGGGACTTAGTAACTAGGGTTATTATTGGGGTAACTATACTCATAATTACTTATAACCCCAATTAAGGGACTCATAACTATAGTTACTAAGTCCCATGATCCTCCAAGTATCGGGTGTTGGATAAGTTCCCCCCTGTCGTGCCCTTCTTCTATGTGATTGTGTTTCCTGATTTCAAACTGACGAGTCTAAAGAAGGATACCTGCATTGTTCAGGGGTTGCTCGGGGACCTAGATGCTGAAGGGGCGGCACCCATAGATGTGATGAGCATCGCAAGTAGTAATTCAGAACCTTAAATACCCGCACACTTTAGTTTACTCAGTTGCCGACCAAGAACCTCGTCTGGATTGTCCGAGTTGCGAGAGCGTAAATACCCTGCGGGGATCCGCTTTATCTCAGCTCTTCTTTGTCCGACCAGTGTGGAGCCTTGCCTGCCTTAGGCGAGAGTAAGAGGCGGAACAGATCTTAAGATTGTTCCTGAAGATTCCTTGTCTCATTCTCTTTGTAATTTTCCCGCAAAATCTTTCTTCTGATTGTGAAGGCCCATATAGTGAGCCCTTACAGCCTTACAGTATTCCTGTTGGAACCCTGTAAAGGAGCTTTCCCCACGGGTCCAAGTACCTAATAATCATGAACTCTGCAAATTCCTAACCTACGTAACTACTATCCTGAAACCGAGTACCTAATTATTGGGTCCTTTGGACTCTTGGGGTTTTGAAGGAACCCGATCGTAAATATTAGTGCCATGCGTTGTGCGTTACAGGGAACCGACTTATACCCCCAACTGTGGGGTTTAGGGTGCACTTGGAGGCTCATGGGACTTAGTAAGTAAGGTTATAAGTAGGTTATACTTAGGACAACCCCACTTAGGGGACTTATAACCCCGCTTATAACCTACTTACTAAGTCTCATGATCCTCCAAGTGGGGTTTAGTCAGGTTCAGACCCGAATATATGGGAGCCTTAATACTTACCTATACTATTTTTTTTGGGGGGGGGTCCTTATTATAAATCTTGTATAATGGGCCCCAACGCCGTATTCTAACTATTAAGGCCCGTATGTTATAAACCCCCACGAGCTTGACACATGTCCGCCTCGTAGGCTCTGCTTTCGCGTCTTGTGACTGTCACGTTGCTCTTCATCTGAAGTCTGGGTACCTCTTGGGGTACAGGGTTTTCCCATCGTAACCTTGGGAATTGATTTTTTGTTTTGTTCATACAGAATCCAAGAGAATATTAAAGTACTATTTTTATTTGGGTTCTAAGGGGGGTATAGTTTCGCGTCCTGGCATAATCATATCCCAGGTGTGAAAAGGTTCTGGTTTTAAGACGATTTAGGGTGTAGGGTTAAGCACAGAACTTGAAGACAGATCATCCCCGTAATTGGCACTCCAAGGACCCGGAACCTTAAAACCCAAGCCTGTTTCGACGGTGCTCCCAACCCTGAACATCCAAACCTTAAACCCTCAACTAAGATCCAGGTTTTTTAGAGGGCCAAGCTTGCAGAAGTCAAGTCGTTTTTACCTCACTTGGGTATGTTGTTGTTTACTCGGTTTGGCGTTCAGCGTCCTTCCTTAAGCCCTTACAGTAGCCTCTGGAGGTCAAGTCCATGGACATCCCCTTCGAAGACGACGTGAAGCTGGCCTCCCGCCCAGACAGAAATCTCAAATGCGTATCCAACACACACATGTGTATATATATATATATATACATGTATACACGCACACATGCTTAAGCCGAATTCCCGAAATCGCATCACGACCCCGAAGCAACAGTAATGTAACCCTAAACCCTAAACCCTAAACCGGTAAACCCACATCAGGATTTCATGCGGTGTATTCCTGAAAGCCCAGAGACGGCAGCTTTAAGTCCCAGACAAATGGGAGTTTCCGAAAATAGGGGGGCCCTTTAAAGGGGTCCTTTAAAGGGTACCATAAGGGCTCCTTTATAAGGGCTCTATAAGGATTCTAAGAAGGTTTAGGGTTTAAGGTGGGGTTTTTCGAAAATAGGGGACCCTAATCTAGTACCCGAAATTTTAGGGTCCTTATAATAAGGACCCCCCCCAAAAAGTACCCCCAATTTTGGGAAACTCCAAAATCATGTGATGTAGTTCGGCTTTGAATAAGGTGAAGGGATTCAGGGCTTAGTGCACCGGAGCCCCTGCTCAAGATAAGTGCCAACTAAAGCAACATGGCACAGTAACGTTTATCACGTTTCTTTGAGGTTTGGACTAAGTCAAGATGGCACAGTACCTCCACCCAACGCCTGTTACAAGCATAGAAGCAGGAGCGATTCGGGCAGCTTGTTTTAGCACGACACTGCTTAATGCTAGCCAAGAAATCCTGGGACACTTGGTTGCCGAAATCAGCTCCACAAGCAAGAACCCGTAATGTCCCACATTAGGATGGAAGGGTCTGCTGATGATAATGATACCTTCAGCACCGAACAGAAGGAATTCGGGGTGCCGAGGCCCCCAAGCTACAGGGTTTAGGGTTGTTCGTTGGCACGCAATCCAAGCCCATGCTGAAAAGCGTTTAGGGTTTAGGGTTTGCTTTGATCAGTCGGCGCCTCGGTTCCTGGCATATGCGTAGTCCAGGTGTACAAGGGTTTGCTTTGATTAGAGTTTTGCCGGACTGCCGAAGGGATCGAGTCCCTCCTCCCCAACCTATCCTGCTCTTCGAAAGCCGCCAAGGCGATCACTGGCTGGAACAATACCAAGGTGGCCAATATTAGATGATCGAAGGGGAAAAGGAGGGAGCCTTAATGGGGACCCCTACCCTATAATGGGCTATATAATGGGTATATAATGGCTGTATTTCAGGGTATATACCTAGGAATCCTTATTAAGGGTCCCTCCGTTTACCCTTGGAGATGATGGTCGGCCTACTTTTTTTTGTTGTGTAGGGTGTTCGACCCTGTTTCTTCAGGGTGTGGACCGTGGATCAGCTTCGACATATGGTTTTTATTCAATATGTAAGCCCTCTTTGTTTGGGGCTCGAGCTTGTTCTGCTCGGGCATTGTTTCGGATTCAGTTCGTCTTAGTTCCCCAATACCCAACCTTTAAACTTTTTGAGTTCTTATAGTTTAATAGTGACCAGAAAGTTTAGCCTTCTATTTCTGTGGCTTATAGGTTAAGTAAGTTAATAATTAGAGCAGGGTTTTTGGGGGCCCTTATACTCTAGTTATAGTAAGGAACCCCCGAAATAGTATGGGTAATAAGTCAGTTCGTGTGATGGCGCCTGGAATGCAAATGCGTTTTTCTTCGCACGCGGCTCTCACGGCCGAAGCCAACTGCACTACTCAACATATCAAAGGGGAAAAGGAGGGACCCTTAATGGGGACCCCTACCCTATAATGGGTATATAATGGCTAATATTTAAGGGTATATACCTAGGGGTCCTTATTAAGGGTCCCTCCTCTTGCCCTTGGAACATAGATCGATTGCTGTGGGAGTCCGTGTTGATCCTCCGGATTCTCCCGACGGCTGGCCGCCGCCCATGTCTCAATGCCTAGTCTCAAGCATAGAAGCAAGAAAGAAGGAAACTTCAATACCTAAGTCTTGAAGCTCCGTTTTATACGTGCCTTCATGCCAGGATCCTTGCTATCGTCCGGGGTGTTACAATATTGATCCGGCGCCTATGTCAATAAGGACGTCTTCTGAACTCACAGAGATATCGAAATTCTTGAACAAGGGATGCACAGGCAAAAAGTGCTCAAAGCATAAAGCTTGACACGATGAGGCTGTAAATCTGCGAAACAGGTGCATTTGGTTTCCTTTCCGACTTGCCAAGTGCATAGGCACTAGAAAGCCAAGGTTCATCTCCCCAGTTTGTTCCAGTTTAGGTTTTCGTGCTTCAGGCTTTAGAGTTCAGGGTTTAGGACGCGTTTGTTGCATAGTCGGCGCCTCGGTTCCTGGCATATGCGTAGTCCAGGTGTAAAAAAGCACGCGTTTTTTTGGGAAATGTTACACCCTGAACCTTTGGTCGTCTGGAAGTATCTGCTCATGCTCATGTGGTCAAGCAAGCAGGAGTCATAGAGTTCACGGAGGACAGCGACTTAGTAACCAAGTTGTACGTACATGGGTAGTTGTCAAAATTATGGTCCCGTTTTGGGTACCCTAAATACTAGGTGCCGTATTATATTAAGGGCCCAAAAAGGGACAGAACCGTAAACTCGCGCAAGCCGCAAACTGCCGAACTCTACACCGCAAAGCCCGGAAAATCCCAAACTCCTCTCTCCCTAAACCCTCAGCACCCTAAACTCCTAAACCCTGAAAAGAGCCCGAAACCCAAATCCCTATATCCTATACACTCCCAAACTCGGAAAGCCCAAGAAGCCGGACAGGTGCGCCTGGAGGCACCCATGCGCGACAAGCTTGGCGACAGCCTGCGGCTCAGAGAGTGCAGAATCTTCGGGTTGAGGATTTGGGGGTTGTTCGGAACCAGTGGGAATATACCATAGACAATGCACGGTACTTTAGGGACCTGATGATGATATCATACCTTACCATACTTTTAATATGAAACTATAACGGCATGTCATCAGCGGCTCTTCAGACCCTTGTAGTAGGATCCTTATTAAGCTGAGCCATCGAAAGAGGTCGCAAGCAGAGTCAAAGTGGGGCGAAGGATCTGTTTCATGGTTCCAGTGTTTAGGATGTAGGCCTTTAGGTTTAGTGTTGTAGGAGGGCTGTTTCCGAGTGCTTTGTGGTAGTTTCCGAAAATTAGGGGTACCTTAGGTGGTAATGGGGATCCTACCATTAGGGCACGATATTAGGGTCCCCTATTTTCGGAAACTCCCACCCTAAACCCTAAACCTTCTTAGAACCCTTATACATCCCTTAAAGGAGCCCTTATGGTACCCTTTAAAGGACCCCTTTAATTTAAAGGGTCCCCCTACTTTCGGAAACTCCCTTGGGAGCTTTTTGAAGGACAGGCTTCCAGTAGCGCAATGGCCGCAAGGCACGGGCTTTGAAGAAGAAGAAGAAGCTGGCCCTATGTTAGAAGCTGCCCCCACCCTGTAATAGTGACTATAAGGATTATATTAGGACCCTATCATATTCCTACTATACCGCTATTACAGGGTGGGGGCAGCTTCTAAGCCCTATGTTTTCAAAGGGGAACAGGAGGTAGCCTTAACGGGGAATCTTACCCTATAATGGGCTATATAATGGGTATATATTGGCTATATTAAGGGTCTATACCGAGGGGTCCTTATCTGGGCTTTGGAGTACCATACTTTAATACTTTTTTCTTAATGGAACCATTATGAAATAAAAGTTTATACTTTTTCCTCCCTGGTTACTTCCAAGCCCAGTTATTAAGGGTCCCTCCTTTTACCCTTGGATGTTCGCTTGCGGGGACTCCCTGCGACAGCACAGCAAGCAATCTTCGGCTTGAATTGAAAATAACCCTAAACCTTAAACCTCCAAACCCTTAAACCCTAAACCCTATACTCTTAAACCCAAACAGGCATAAACAAAACTTCTGTGATCCCTGGGCCTTCTGATCTTACAACTCCCATGGAAGCCAAAATCTGTGGCGGGAGCCCTCGAAACATAATTGAAACCCAGATCCATGTAGGTGTTGTGTTTGGTATGCTTTGAGACCTGGAGCCATTTAGATAGGTGCTGTGTTTAGTACGCTTTGAAGCCTAGAGCCATTTAGGTGCTCTGTTTTTTAGGCTTAAGAAAGACATCATTTCACAAAGACTTTAAAGAAGAAGATCCCCCTAAACCCTAAAGCCTTACACCCTAAACCGAACCTTTTTCCCTATGGGAGTGTCCAGGTGACGAGTCCGATGGCGAAGAGGAAGACAGCGATGGCCCCGCCCTGCGGCTGGAGAGGGGGGGAGGGTCAAGGAATAATGCAGGTGGAGGTCGCTTTCGCTGTTTGAGGGTTGGTTTGGGTTTAGAGTTTGAGGGTTTCGCTCTTTTGCAATGATGATTTTTGGGGGCTTGCTCCTCTTACAGACGCCATGAGGGTTGTAGTTGCGGAGTTGAGGGATTTTGGGTCAGGATTGTGACCCAGAAAATGAACTTTCCTGCTGGAAAGTGTTTCAATGTTGCAAAGCTTCAAAACCTTTTGTCCAGGCCTGGAACCAGGGAATCAGCTCTATCCTTGCATCCCAGGTGGTGACAAGCTGTGGCAACGCAGCTGGTTTGCAGTTACGGAACTGCGTGGCGAGAATCCAGAGTGTAAGTGCAACTGGTACTGAGGATCCATTACTTCATCTAGGACCCAGAGTAGGCCCTTATTCCCTTTTTTAGGGTTTAGGTTCTCTTATAACCCTCTTTAAGCCAAAAAGGGCACCCTTTTTATTCCTAGGTTACTCTTAGGCCTAGTCATGAATACTCTGTACTCTAAACTCGAACCTCCGAAGCCCTACACCAGCCTGCACCAAGTCCCAAATCCTCAGCGTCGATTTTCATAGAAATTCGCGATTCTTTAAACCTTAAACTGACAGTTCGTGTACGACGGGATCTGGGGCCTGAAGTGGGCCTAAACCCTAGACCCTATACACCCACGGCTCGTCAACAACAGGATCCGGACCTCTTGGAATGGGGAAGGTCATGTCTCAGGTGTAAGTCATGGCACCCATTCAGGGGAAAGTAGTAGGGTTTTGGGATTTAGGGCTGAGGAGTTTCACGCTAAGAGTGGTTTAGGGTATCTTGGCATCCAAAGTGGGGGAGGTAGTAGGTTTTGGGATCAAGGGTTCATGGGCTTAGGCGTCGCGGCTCGAGCGAAATTGGTTCTGCATTCTCCTCTAGGAGTAGCAGGGCCTTTTCGTATACCCGACCCCAGCCCTCTCCTCGCAATTTCGGTTGCTCGAGGGCGCTGCAGTCTGATTCCAGGTAACCTCTGCGTGCGGCGGTGCGCCACCACTTTATCTCCCTTCTCCTACCGCTGCAGTCTGGTTCCAGGTAACCTCTGCGTGTGGCGGAGTGCCGCATTATCTTCCTGCTTTGCCTGCATTAGGTTTTTCGCTGCCATTTGTTTGGCCGACAAACCTGGTACAGAGTGGTTTCCTTCACGCGGGCTTTTTGCCAAGGGCCTTGCCCGCCCTCCGGCTTCGTCGCTTCCGGGGCCTGGCCTCTCAGTGAGTCTTTCGAGGGCCTCGACGGCTTCGGACAAGTTCTTCCTTACAGAGGCTGGGCTAGTCACCACTTCTTCAACTTCTTTCTGCAACTGCTGGTGGCGTGGTGGTGGCGCTGAACGCTTTTGCGTGGCCTCGTCCCTTTCTGAGTTGTTTCCGCTAATGCTCGTCATGCTACTGCTCGCGGTCTGGCCCGCTGGGCGGCTGTGTGACATGCATCATGCTCTTCTTTGCTTTTGAGCCGTTGTCCGCCTGGTTGAGCTGCGCTGGCCGTACGCCTCGCGACGCTCCCTGGCCGGCTGTGGCTGGCTTCCGTTGAGCGCTTGCCTCTGGTGTTTCACTCCGGGCTTGCCTCCTCGCGCGATGTGGTCTTATCCGTCCTTCGGATGACGGCCCCTCGCTTTTGTACAGTTTTGCTCTTTGTTTAGGTTCTTGGCCGCGACCCTACAGCAGGGTCGCTTTTCGGCCGCTTGCATGGTTAGCACAGGACGTTCCTCTGGCGTGCGTGAGTGAGTGAGTTCATGGGCTTAGGGTTTAGGGTTTGGCGGCTTGGCTCAATTTTAGGTCAGTCCGTGGTAGTTAGCTCATCGCAGTTAGCAGTCAGCAGCTTGCGAGTGCAGGCAGGTGACTCTCGTATCCCCTATTTGTACACGACGTCCTTGTGACACTTATATATGCGCTTTTCTGCAAACCCTAAAAATCCTTCTCTACCCGAGGCACCAGCACCTAAGCCTGAGTGCTTTTTTCCGAAATTGATTCGGGGTACCCGTAACACCTGAACGGTGGACCCTACTCACGGCCCCAAGGGGCTTAGTAAGTAGGGTTAGAATTGGGGTTTGTGAGTGCCCTAGGTAGGGTTATCCTGATTCTAGCTTTACTTATGGTCTTACTTACCAAGTTCCATGAGCCTTTATGGCCTTACTTGCTAAGTCTCATGAGCTTTTAAGTATCCCTTAAAGAAAACCTTTGAAGGGAACCCTAAACCCCCCTAGAAGCCTTATGGATCCCTTCAAGGATCCTCTCACAAAAGCCAGAAGGCCTTTGAGGGAACCCTATGGTTCTCGGGCGGGGCTCTTCCCGTCAAGCATTTTTCAGGAGAGTTTAGGGTTTAGGGTTTAGGGACATTTCTTTCCTTGCTGGCTTTGTGCAGTGGGCATTTTCTTGGCGTTTGCATTGGTGCAGTACTTGGTTATTGCAGCATACATGGCGGATGCAGTGCCGTGCGAGGCCGGTATCCAGACCAAAGATGGCCAGTCAACCCTTCGATCGAATCCACGGCGGTCGTTAGCTTTGCCTTGCCAGCATTGTCTGCGAATTCCATTTTGGGACATGATCATGGGTCATTGCCTGAGAGTGATCCAACAGCTCCTTCCGGGTGACGAGTCCGAAAGGTCATGGGCTTCCTCAGATGGCAAAAGAGACAGACAGAGACAGCCACTGTCTGAAGGGAACTCCAGAAAGTTGGAATATGGTTTCAGGGTAGGATACCTTATAATTTACCATAAAGGGTTTAGGATAATCATATTCCAACTTTTTGGCTTTTACTTTTAGGCCAAATCTCAGGCAAAGGCGAAATCATCCAGCTCTCAAGCTGCGCCAAAACCAAAGTCTAGTCCATGGGGCTCACGCCATACCTGGACCCTGAAGAACCTACCTTTTTAAGGAGCTATAAAGGGAACATATAGCAAGGAACCCCAAAAGGATAACTTGTTGAGAGACCAGGTATTACTTAGGGATACTTAGGTTTAAAGGGCTGATGCCATCTAAGTCTGAAGCCAGAAACCCCTGAAGCCCTAAACCCTGGAACCGTAAAGATACGCACAGGCTACGGTAGGAGTCTAGAGGACACGTGGTTGGGGGTGTCATAGACCCTGCCGCTCTCAGTGATTCGCAACGTTTGGCATCATAATTTCTGGTTTATTTTGCAGGGTCAGTCTGTGCAGTGATTACTGGAAGCGTCTACTCTTAATGCACAATGTCTCAGACTCGGAAAGGCCGCACTCTGATCTAGCCCCAGAGCCCTATCTCCTGAAGCCTAAGCGGCCCTAAATGGCCCTAAACCAGAACCCTAACTCCTGAACCCCAAACCCTAAACCACACCAAAAGCCGCAATCCGTGCTTGGAGGATCATGGGACTTAGTAACTATATAGTTATAAATCCCGTCATTGGGGTTATAAGCAATCAAAACTATATTTATTACCCCAATAGTAACCCTAGTTACTAAGTCCCATGATCCTTTAAGTAAACCACACCAAATCCGTGGTCGATCCCCATGGACAGAGGCCGTCCAAGCAGCTACTTGGCACGTGGCCACCATGGTGGTCGATCTCCCGGCAAGCCACCTGGAAGCATTGGTTTAGGGCTTATGTGGTTTTGGGTTAGGTATGCGTAGTCCAGGTGTGGGAAAGGGCCCTCATTGTGATTAGGTGACAAAAATGCATTGAAGCGTGACCTATTGAAAACGTTCGCTTGAAGGAATAGCACTTTGCGGCTTTGCGGAGCATACGCCAGAGCTCCTATATGCGATGATATTGATGATCTGGGGCTTGGGGGCCATGTGCTGGTCATTGACGTGAAAATAGCAAATAGATATTGCCACTACTTGCCACTGCTACACATCTTCTCCGACGTTTTGAGCGGCAGTTGCACGGCTACATTGTACACGTAGTGCAGGCTCCGTTTCAGGATGGAGGGTCTGCCGGTTGCTCGGTTCAGGTCTTTTCAGCCACAACATGGCCCCAGCAAAGGCAAGTTCCAAGTGTACCTAGACGGCGAGCTACACCTATCCGTTCGCGACCCAGGCACGGCAAGGGGATGGGCTCTGCAAAATCCCCAAGTTGAATCAAGTTGAGTACTATAGGGGCCGAAATAATTACCAATACTATTTTGGCATTGGGGGGTTCTTCCTTTAATTATAGTATAATGGTGCCAAAAAACCCTATTCTAATTATAAAAGCCCCTAAATGATACTACCCTTCTAGTATCCCTTGTAGGAACCCTCCATATACCCCTTCGAAGGAGCCCTAGTCTATTGAAAAAGGCCCACGAACCATGAGCAGGTGGCTTAGTCGCGGATGGCCGCTTCTCCATTGATCCCCGCGAGGTGGTTCCGAAATGCTTAGGGTGTTCAGGGCTTCTACTTTTTAGGGTTCAGGTTTTAGAGTTAAGGGATTGTTCGTTCGCTTGTTTTTGCGGGGGGTTCTTGCGGCTCTGATAGTAGGGGTGAGGTCACCTAAATCGCCTTTCGAACCTTCAGAACTCAATGGTAAACCTTGTTTTCGGACGTGGTGCCATTAATCAGGTGCTTAGTATCCATGAGTCATTATTCTTCAAGGAACCCTGGCTGTAAGCTTTTCATCGGGTTCGCAGGGTTGTTAGAGCTTCAAGAGAGGGGAGCCTAGTGTCTCTTACTCATGAAGGATCCCGTGTGTGACTCGCAGCGCTGTTATTTCGGAACATTGTGAGTAGCTGGTTAGCTCAGTAAGTACCGACTGGCGCACCGTGTTCTATGCGCATCGAGCCTTGAACTCCCCAGGGTTTAGGGTTTAGCCCGAACGCTGCTGCTTTTGTCCGCAAGGAAACTCAGCAAGGGATCCTGTCAGACGGCCGGCAGGAGGGCCAAGGAAGACTGCCATGCTTGCCAGAACTGTAGTATGGTTCAGCTCTTTGACCTTGTGCTACTCAGCTACTCCATGTGAAACCGTTGCTCACATGACTTGCCAGGCCCTCTTTCCTTAACCCCCTATGTATTTTTGGGAACCCTGAAGCCTAAACCCTTGTAGCCTCTGTGCCTTGAACTTTATCCCCAGAAGCCTTGAAGCGCCTGTGCCATGCCTCAACCCCTAAACCCTTGTCCACGAACCCAGGCCTGTTTGAGCCTCGAATGTACAGAGGCCAGAAGAATCGGCAATACCATCCGGATATCCAGTTAAGGTCTGTGTAGAACTATGGTTTAGGTGTAGCGGTTCGGCAGGTCGAAGTACCCCAATTCCGAATATACCGGCCTCCATGCGACCCCTTCCCTGCCGGAAGGGCATGATGCTTTTCAGCGCGGCCAAGAGGGGCGGCAGTGGCTCCTCGGTTCATCCAGGGCTTCTAGCATCTGGTTACATGGAGTGTTGTAGAAGTTTCGGTTGGCAGGGCTTGTAGTAGAGGTTTGGGCAGGCAAGAGTTTGCACAGCTCTGCGGAGTTTCCGCTTCTTGAAGGGATGCTTCCAGGTGTTTCCTCGGCTTAATCACTTGTCAAAGGCCTGCTTTACTAGGATGCCCAGTAGTACCCTTATTCCCTTTTTGTAGTCCTAGGTTCCTTATAAAGTTACCCAATACCAAAAAGAGAGGCCTTTTTATTCTTAGGTTACTGGGTATCCTAGTTTAACGGCTTTGATGAGCTGCTGATACTCAAACCCCGAGCCTCCTCCTGAGGCCCCCACGAGCCCAAAGCCTGCACCAAGAATCTAATCAAAGGTGTCGGATCAGCAGACTGGCGTGCAGGCGGGAGTAGGGTCCCGTGGCGGGGGCGGCTTAGAGGCTTTTGGGGGCTCTGAGCTCTTGGTAGGCTTTGGTTGGTGCTTGGCATGCTTTGGCCTAAGTCGTTGGGATGTATGGTCTACGGTTTACCTATCCATCGATATCGGAGGAGCTAAGGAGCCAGGGATGATGATAATCCCTAGTAAATAAGGAGCTAAAGAGCCAAGGGAACCCCAAAACCACTGCTTAGTTATTATAGTACCATTATAGATCCCTTAACTATAGCCCTTATATATAGACCCCTTCAAAGGAACCCTATAATTTACAGTCTTGTTAGGATTTAGGACCCGGGCTTTATTTGCAGCTCAAGGTCGGGTGTGGAGGGATCGAACTTGAGAAGCCTACCATGGGTAGAGCGAAGGCCTATGATGCAATTGTGCACCTCTACTTGGATGCCCAGTAGTACTCCCTTTTTGCAGTCCTAGGTTCCTTATAAAGTTACCCAGTACCAAAAAGAGAGGCCTTTTTATTCTTAGGTTACTGGGTATCCTAGTCTAACCTTTGCCTCTAATCTCCAAAAGGCACCAAGCCCAAAGCCTGTGAACAGTATCAGAGTATTGATCTTTAGCCACTAACCCTAAAGCCTAAATGTCAGAACGGCAAATCTCAAGCTCCAAAGCCTTACAGCCAGGCTATGCAGGACCCTAAATCCCAGAACCCCAACCCCTGAAGCCCTCGCCCAAACGAGCCTCACACAGAGAACTTATTAAACTTCTAGTGAATTGACAACAGCCGAAAAGCAAAACAAGAGCAGCAATATAAAGCCCCTAGGCCCTAAGCAGCTAAACCCTAAACTTCTAGAACCCCGAAGACCTGGAGGTGGACACCTGCGATCCATGCGCTTGGACACGCAGGCCCTCACCCAGTTTGACGTCTGGACCCATCAGCTCCCGCTCCCTTGCCAGAGTTTGGTTTGGGGTTTGGGGTTATACTATAATGGTGCAAAGAAATTCTGAAGCACTTGAGATTCAGGGTGGGGGGCGTTAAGGTTTAGCGGGGGAATTGGGGTCGCCGGGATGAGGGTTTAGGGTTTATGCTTCCGTGGGGGTTGGGGTTTAGGACTATGCGGGTATGCACAGATCTTTCTGCCGGTGTTTTTCTCATAAGACTCAGGCCGTGTGCTTCGCTGTTGAGTAACACACAAGCCTGAATATTTGCCATCACCATCCGTGAATTTCCATGTCACAACTTATACACCATAATAGAAGCCCCGCCATTTTATAACCTTAAACCCTGCACTCTGCGACTTCACATGTCGAGGCGGCAATTATGTGTTTGGACCACAGGGAGGGTTTAAACAATTACCCTAAACCCTAAACCCCTAAACCCTAAACCCTAGATTGTGCCGAACGTCAGCCCTATGCTCTGGCGGCAGAAAAGACTGAAGACATGGGTGGTTGTCAAAACTAGGCTCCCTTCTTGGGTACCCTAAATAATAGGTGCCGTATTATATTAAGGACCCAAGAAGGGACCCTAATTTTGACAACCACCCACATCAGCGCAAGCACTGATAGGTTTGGGGTTAAGGGAGTGGGGTTGGAAGCTGTCGATCCCAGCTGAGGAAGGGTATTTGGATCTGCCGCTGCACAGCACGTGACTGGGCATGACGTCGTGCTTGGAAGTTCATGGGTGGTATGTCGGTGCAGCTACATGGTGGTTGAAGGCGCACTACGTAGTTGAACCATGAGAAGTGTGTGACAGCTATGGCAACCTACAGGCCTATGTATGTACACCTACCCAAGAACCTGCGGCGACATCGTATTGATCTACATGCAGGGAGTGGCTCTGGGAGCTCACTCAGCTTCCCAGAGAGGTGATGACAACAATACCGTTACGTGGTCTTAGTCAGTCTCGTTTCGCAAGGCATCGTTCACGACTTTGACTTTGACTGTCAACAATGATGGTGGTAGCTAGTGCCACAATGCTGTTTGATTGTATCTCTTCTGCTAATTATTGCTTTCTTTCTCGTCAGGAGTCTTTAGGGTCGGGCTGCTGCTGAAGACTAGAGACAGAAGGTGCTTCATCAGAATCGCCCACAGGAGTCGGAATGAGGGCTTGGGGTGTTCAGGGCTTGGCTTGGAACGATTATGCGAGGAGCACATACTCGAGCAATCATGGAGCAAGGATGGCGAGAGCGCCAACCGCGTAATAATTAGTTTGTGAAGCCTTTTGACTCTCATGAAACATCTCTGGAGGATTATGACTTCCCCGGCCGACCTCCCAAGCCCGGATGCAAAACAGGGTTCAGGATGTCTGCAAAAGCAGAGGCAATGCGGCCGACGCGAGGATTTGCTGGAGATGCCGCAATACGCGCACACGCTCGGGGGTATCTTGGCTGGAAATTAGCACTTGCCCAACCCCAATCTTTCCGCGGTGTACTATTGTAGGACGCTCTAGGATGAGTGGCTGGTGCCACTATCACTTGGCAATCCCTGTGTAGCTCTAGTAAAATATACCCCGTGTAAAGGTAGCAATATTTGTTGAGGCACCTATAGAACCACACAAGCACAGGGTAGACCGGAAATCCTGGCTAGCCCTAGTAAATCCAAGTTTTGCTAGCCCTAAACCTCTGCAGCAACCCTACAGATGGAGGCCGTTGTAATATGCGTGCCGATAGCCTCCAACAAAACCATGTTGTGGTGCACCGCGACCCCGCTCTATTTAGCAGGGCCCTTGCAACATGCCAATGAAACCCTGCGCCCGAACCCCACTGTAAGATGTAAGACCCAAACCCAGAAACTATACCCTTGTTGGTCTTGCTTGTGTATAGCTTCCCCAGTAGTGCGCTTCTGCCCATTTTCTATTTTCGGGTTACCCTATACAAACTGAATCCAACTGAATACCAGGAAAAGGGTACCCGTTTTAAGGGTGGGGACCTAGTTGCTTGTAACCTTATACAGGAGGCCATATAATAGCTTGAAGATGCTCATACAGGCTATGCAGGTACTATGTTTTAATCCCGAGAAGAGTTTTTCGCTCGGCGCTTCGCTTTGGACGGGATTTTCGGGTTTGGGGTTTTGTGCTTGGCGGATCAAGAGACTTAGTAAGTGGGGTTACTGTACAGGCACCTTAACTGGGTTGATAAGTAGAGAGTACCTTGCGTATAAGCCTCTTGCTAAGTCCCCTGAACCTCGAAGGCCTGTCCGAAAGTAAGATCCAAAAGACTAAAGTGAGTAAAGCCTGAAAATCCTAAAGCACCCGAAGTCCTGAAGGCTCCAGCCCTCAAACCCTGAAGCCCTAAAACCCCCAAACCCCTAAGAGCTGAGACCTTAAAGACCCAACAGCCTAAACTGTGTACTTACTATAAGACTTATAAGACCCTAAACCTTAAAAAAGCTTATAAACCTAAACACTGGACCACAGGTGCGCCCGCCCGGTGATGCGGATCCGCGGGTGGAAGGCCTCACGGTGATCACCGCAGACTCCTTCCGCGAGCTTGTAGCCTGGCCGTACTTGCAAGGTATGTGGTTCTGTCGGATTTGATAGCGTTTGAGCCTTTTGTTGAAGGTGCTCGAAAGTCAGAAGCCCTAAACACACAACAAAAAAACAACCCCTAAACTCCTTTGTATATAGACGTCATCCAGACCAGCTTGGCAGTCATCAAAAAGGAGGAAAGAAAACTAAACCCTTGACCTTGTCTTAGGTCCTCGAAAGTCAGAAGCATGTCCTCGTCGTCGCCAGCGCCTCTTGGCCTCTTGACTGCAAGTGTTTGGGGGTTTTTAGGTTTAGGGTACCACCAGTCGCTTAAAAAGGGTAGCCAAGTGGCAAAAAGGGTTCTAGAATTTCAGATTTTTTGAGATTGACGGCTTTGGGGTTTTAAGAGTTCTACCAGTGTTTTAACTGCGCTTCGGGCTTTAGGGTTTCAGGGTACAGGCGGGGGCCTAAACGTCTGTTCACAATCCAATTCCCTCCCAGCAAGACTAGCCATGCCGGGTCTCGGCAGCTTGGTTTAGCTACGTTTGAGGATTTTTGTGATATTTACAGCTTCTGTATTGACATGAAACTAATGCTACGGTTCAGGATTTTTCTCTATGAAATGATGCAATTCCCGACAAGCGGTTCAAGACACTCCCAGTCTGTATACAGACCCTGGGTCAGCGAGACACCCTTCCCTTCCGAAGGATTAACCATAAACCCAAAACCCTAAACACTGAAAGTCAGCTTGTAGACCCGACCGTCAAAGCACCCGCGCACCAGAGACCTCGTCAGGAGTTGCGAGAGCGTAAACCCTAAACCCTAAACCCTAAACCCAAACCCTAAACCCAAACCCTAAACCCTAAACCCTTAAAGCCTAAACCCTAAACCCTAACCCCGGAGCCTTCAGGTTTGTCTGATTCCTGAGGACGACACCGTACCGAGAGGGCTACTTAGTTCCCCAATACCCAACCTTTAAACTTCTCGGGTTCTTTTAGTTTAGTAGTGACCAGAAATGGGGGAAGTAAGGCAACTTAGGCATCCTTTCCAGGTTCCGGGCCACCCGGCTCTCACGATTCCCCACACACTAAACCCCAAACCGGAAATAGGGGTTCCTGGCAAGACGCCTGGAGGGCACCACGCCAAACTGAAATCCTTATAAGCCCGAAAACCCAAATTACACCCTAAAGCCTATATAAGCCCTGAAGAACCAGCCCTTTTCAGGACACCTAATAAGGAAATCATGAAAAAGGTAGGCTCTTCAGGGTCCAGGTAAGCGGTGTGTTCTGAAGCCTTCCTAATGCTGAAAAAACCGACTAGAAAAGGAGTTGTATATAGAAGCCGTAAAAAGGAACCCTATAAAGGTACCGTAGGTTTTCTCGGCTAAACGTAGGGCCTTAGGGATTAGAGTTTAGAGCCCGGGCCGAGGATGTTGGTTAGGGTTTAGGCCCAGGGTTTGAGACAAACGACAGTGAAGCTTGTGGACATTTAACTGCAAACTACAAAAAACAGCACATGCTGCCTTTCTGCACGCAAAGTGGATCAAGGGCACAGGGTTCAGGGTGATACTTTGTTACTTGGAAGGCTGCACAACCATTTTGTAGCTCATGCGTGCACATTGACATGTTGTTGTTGCAGCCTTGCAGAGGGATTTTGCCGACCACGGCCAGTTAAGAACTCGCTTGGCGCAGCCCTGGTACAGAGCCCTGATGCTCTACATGCCAAGCCCGGAAAGGCTTAAATCTCCAACGCTTAAATGCAGGTGTCTAAAGTTTAAAAGCCCGAAATCCAAAGTCTGTGGTCCCTATAGGTCGGCAAACTCTAAAGTCTAATCTAGAATGCCCCGAAACCCGTAATATAACCCCAAACCACAAAGACCGAAATTAACCCACAACTCGAGCCCATAGAACCAAGCTTTGGGCCTGCGACCCTTTTAAGATTTTAGAGGCTTCATAGTCTTACATGTCGCAGTTAGGGTTCGGGGTTGAGGGTTGAGGGTAGCCGGGCTGCTGGACAACGAGGCCTGCTGCAAAAAAGGGTCTTGGTGTACTTCTCCACGGCCTGAAGCCCCCAAAACCATAAAGGACCCTTGAAACTCTGAGCTTTAAGCCGCAAACCAAGAGGACGAAGTAGAGCCCGTAATCCGAAGCCCCTGGTGGGGAAGGGCCTCCGCCTGTCAGGTGTGGGCCATGTCAGCAGCTGAAGTCGCTTTTCCTGAAGTTGGTTTTGGGAGTTCGCGGTTTGTAGAACCCTGAAGCCGCAACCTTTCAGCTTTGGATTTCTTTCGGAATCTGCAGGGATACTATAGGGGCTCCACTGGGTCTCAGCCGTGTTTCCGCAAGGGTGCTTAAAGATGGTGTTGTGGGTGTCCAATGCTCTCAGGGTGTTGGCGTCTGAGATGTTGGACTTGCAATTTGTGAGGGTGTTTGCTGGGTCTTTCCCGGACCCAAACCCAAAACCTTACCTTAAACTACCATAACCTACTTTATTGTCAGCTCTTATTATAAGCCCTGATATATTCAATTGAAAGGGACCTCACAAAATAGTAGGTTTTGGTAGTTCAAGGTAAGACTGTATTGGGGGGTCCTCCTGAAGTTGCATGTGGGGAGGCCAGGGGCTCCTGCACTGGGTGTTTAGGGCGCTGCATATGCTCGGAGGCCGCAGAGCTTTTGGGTTGGGGTGAAGGGTGCTTTGATAGATGCCCGGGATCCTAAACCTTCTTGTTGGTATACCGCTTCCCGGATCTTGCGAGACGGAAAAGGAACGTTTAAAAAAACTTTCTTGTTGCCCTAGATTCCTAAACTCCCCTGAACCCTAAACCGTTAAGCCCCTAAGCCTTGAAAGGCCGAGCGTAAGCTTCGAAACCTTGAAGCTTATTTGACAGCTCCATGTCAAGGGCGAACCTAATCTAGGTTCCTCAATAATAGGGTTTTGGGGCCCGATATACTACAATTATAGTAAGGAACACCGAAATAGTATAGGTAATTTTAAGGCTCCTACAGTACCTGGTTTGTCTTCAGACCTTGCCCGGCATAGTTCGAGAGTGAGCGTCAAAACCCCCCAGGCTCGAGTCCCTTAGGCCCCAAGGGCGTCTTACGACAAATTCGGCGCCGAGGCCACGCATCCACCGGTTGGCGCAGCTTCTTGCTGCAGAGGCATCCGGTGCTTGTGGGCCAAGGTTTCGGGTTGGGGGTTGCCCGGTCGCAGGGTCGTGTTCTGGCAGCCAGCAAGCTCAGTTTCAATAAGGGCTACCTGAAAAACCCGAAGCCCTCAACCCTGGACCCTACTTTTGAGGGTTAAGGGTATCTAGTGCTTGTGTGTTAATGGGGAAGGGTCCAGGGTGAAAATCCTACACGTTTTCATTGAAACCCCGAACACCCAGCATCCTACAATCGAAAATTCTTGAATTGAAAACTCCAAAAACAAATGCCTGAGCGATTTGATGAGGTGTGCATAATTCGCGATCCTTTTGCGGTACTTATCTTATATGAGCAATATGTGAAAACTAGACCTTGCATGTTAAGGCCCCTATATTGGAGTAGGTTTACCCTCGACCGAGCTGCAAGTGCTCCGAGGCATCCATCGCAGTAGGCGTCATCGACACAGATGAGAACGAGACCTGGCGAATAGTTCAGCACTTCCCGGAAACGCGAAAAGCTCCTTCAAGAAGCAGGTGTTCCTTATCCTTAAACCATGATAAGAAGCTCTAAGAAATGTGGGCGCGTGGGGTAGCCGACAAGTAAAGGTATTCTTCTCAAGCCATCTATAGGCCTGGGGAACATTGGTTTATTAAGTGGCTTGAAGTTATGTATTTGGCATCTCCTCAGCAATCCGACCCCGTGCCCTGAAAAGCTCTGAAATCGACGCCGGGCTTGTAAGAGTTTAGGGTTACATATTGATTGTCATTGGCACAAGTATCAGAAGTAGGGATGTTGCTCAAGCATGTACTACCTGCGCTGAGCTCCGATACACCGGGTTTTGCCGATATTGCCACCCTGAGTCCATACGGCAATGCTAGTAATACGGTATTTGCATGAGAACTGTAGTATTGGTTGCGCACCTTGCCACCGTGACCTCACACTAGTAATGCTTGCTATCATGCCTTCCTGCTGACTTCGTTTCTGAAGCTGATTGTCTGGTAAGTGCTGTCAGCGAATTGTACTGGGTTTGTAAGCTGACCCCTAAGCAATAGTATTGCTAATTGCGAAGGCTTCTTTATTGCCGCCGCAAGCCCCCAAGTAACGTAGATGTATTCCTTATACCCCTGTCTTATCACAGTCCGACAGCAATATCATCAAAACCTGTGCTTCATTGACTTGTCACGGCACCCTTTATGACCTGGACCCTACACCCTTAAAAAACTTAAACCCTAAACTCCAAAAACCTTAACCCTAAACCTAAACCTTAGCCTTAAGCCCCAAACCCTAAACTCCTAAACGCCTAAACCCTGAACCCTAAACTCTAAACCAAAGCCTTAAACCCCAAACAGGGGAGCCCACGATCCCAAAGTCGGAAGCTGCTCCACATCCGACTCCCTCGCCAAAGAAGCCTCAGCAGCGGTTTAGGGTTTAAGGTTTATGGTTTAGGGTTTAGGGTTCCGGTTTAGGGTTCATTCAACCAAAGAACCTCAAAGCCCTGAGCCCGAATCAAGGGTTTAGGGGTAACCGAAACTGAGTCCGTATGAGTGAGAGAGACACAGAGAGAGAGAGAGAGAGAGAGAGAGAGAGAGAGAGAGAGGGAGGGAGGGAGGGAGGGAGGGAGGGTACCCGAAAAGCCGCAAAGACCAAGGCCAACCTGTCGTAAAGAGCGAAGTCACAAGTTTTCAGAGCCGAGAATCCAACTGGCTCCTCCCATAGAAACCTATAAAAAAAGCCCCGCGAGGAGCCATAGCGGAATACCAAAGCCCTCAGCCCGAAGCCCCTGCAATGCCGACCTCGTCCTTGCCGAGTATAGGGGGGAAAAAACTTGGCGTTATTCTGGTTGGCTCTTTAGACTTTAACTTTTTGGGTTTCTATATGAACTATAATAAGGAGGCTAAAAGTTTAACTTGTAGGAGGGGTTCAGAAGTCCGCCAAGAAAAAGCCTTGCTGCCCGAGACTGATTGCCAAAAGCCGCAGGGTGGGTGTACGGTTGAGGGTTGATTGCTTCGGAACCTTTGGAAATGCTAGCACACGCAGTCTTCTGCCCGCTAAACCCGACGCCGACGACGATCAACGACAATTGTGCCAATTTTACGAAGTATCATAATGACGAAGATGACGATCATGACCCTGGACCTTAAACCCTTGAACCGTAAATGCCCTAAATGCCAAACCCAACATATTAACTGCTCTCAACCCTAAGCCCCAAACCCTCACTGTGGACAGTTGCAGGTGCAAAGCGGGGTACCCTAAACACTTCGCCAAACCCTAAATCCTCAAAGTCCAGACCAGGAGCTCCAAAGCAGATACTTCCCCGAGCCACACATTCCGAACGTGAAGCTCGGCATGCATTAAGGCTGCAATGCTGCGACGGCGGCAGTGCAAATGAGAAATAAAGATAATCACACGGAAACGAGTATTCGACAAAGAGTCCGAAGAGTGTTGTATGCACTTGGTGGTCGTGCAGTTGTAAGTAGGATTGCTAAGCCCGCAACTGTACGCCGTCGGATAAACCTACCAGAAAGAACGGCCACTGCTGGGGTTGTCTTGATGTCGTGCTCGTCGTCGTGCTGTACCGCCCTTTGGGGATCTATGCTGGCATAATGCTTCCGAATCCTTCGATTTTGTCATGAATTGGCTGGCTGGTTTTTGGATGGTGCTTCTGGAAGTGCAAACCATCCAGACTCTTTAATCACCACCTGGATACTACCAAGCCTACCCTCAAATTCTTTTGAGCTGTGACTGTATACTTCATAAAACCTTAATGATTACCAATACTATTTTGGTGGTTCCTCATTATGACTATAGTATAAGGGGCCCCAAAACCCCTATTCTAGTTATTAAGGCCCCTATAGTATAGACTCTGTAGAGTTCAAGCACAGCTTAAGCCCCTCGGACTTCTGAGGAAGCTCTTCTTGCAGGGCAACAAGCGGCAGCCAGTAGCTGTGACGAATGCATCTGGCATGTCTCTGGACGAGCTCGCCGGGTGCCGGGGGCAGCAGATGATGTTGGCACAGACTATTCAGGTGGTGACATGTCCTTTGGATACAGTGTCGGTGGTACTTGAACCGGATTACCCATAGGTAGTCGTAGTGGCGGTCACCATGGTCGTCTTTGTGTTACGGTGATGGTCGTAGTTGTCGTCGTAGTCGTTGTCGCAGCTTCGCAGCAGCACTACCATCTGCAGTAGCACTTTTGCACGGCGCTCGTGAAGTGCACCGTGGCGAAGTTGCATGCATGCGCCCAAAAAAAGCCTCCAGTGTAAACATGTTGGAAATCCTGATCTTCTTTGATTAGTTCCAAGCCGTTGCACAGGACGAGACATGTAATGACCAAGTAGGGACGGTCGGCTGGACCACCTCCCTAAAGACATAAAGTTTATCTCAGCCAAATCCGAGCTCCGGATCCGCGCATCAGGTATTCGGTGTGTTACGCACATGTGCTGGTGAGAAGGTATCACGCTGGGGTTTGGGGATCAGGCCAAACTCGATAACGTCAAGTATGCAACGAATCACCACACCCTCGCAAGCCGAAGAATTACTGCGAAATCCCGTGCCAAACCTTCAGCCCTTGACATGTGGAAGAAGGAAAAGCCGAACCGTCATCTTCATCTCGAGAACCATCGCAAGCTTTAAAGGGTTCAAACACACAGCTGGAAGCTCAAATCGCAAGGGGGGGAGGATCCCAAAACCGATCCTAGTTTAGACAACTGCCCTCATCCCCAGAACCTCTGAATTTTCAACCCTCAGAGCAGTTGCACAGGTTCTTGGAACAGCAGACCGGCGTGAGCATCCAAAAAGCCATCGAAAAGGGTTACCCAGCCTATGCAGAGCGCATCGGTGCCTCGGTTTATGCTTGACTCCCAAGCTGCACACAGCTGGGTTTAGGCTGTCAAGTTTAGGGTTTGGTTGGTTAGGGTCTCAGGTACTGTTCAGAACCTCAGTGCGCTTTAGGTAGCCACTGTTCCCATGAACCAGCACCTTTTAGGCACGAAGCTGTTAAATACTGATCCAGAGCTCAGCTACATCCTGTTTTGCAATTCTAAACACCATGAAAGAGTCTTTGTCGCCAAAGCTCGGCACCAAGGCAAACCCGCGACAGAGAGAGAGGGAGGGTTACACTTGAACGTATAAGCGAACCAACTAAGCAAGCCACGCAGAGAGGGAGGGAGAGACAGAGAGAGATGACGGGAGAGGTAGCTGTGCTGGGATCTACTGTGGCTCTCCTTCTTCCCTGCGCAGTACGTGGGGCTCCTTTCAGGCTTTTAAAACTTTGTGCTCGAGACCCTGGACCCTGCACCTTCAAGACTAGTCATACTTGTTTGTCGAAATGTGGATTCTGCAGCTTCCGATATCTAAGCAGGCAAAAAAATAGCAGGGAACGATGCGATGCTATTAAACATGGTAGACAGAGATGCTAGAAAGAAGACGCCCAAAGAGCGCCTCAAGGAAACTTCTCGCCCAGGCGTGGACGCGCTGCTGACGAAGCTGAAGCTGACCGCGCTCTCCAAGCCCATCCCCCGAGCTCCAGGGCAACCGGGGATCAAGGCCTCCAGTTTACGGGTTGGGGATTAGGGGTTAGGGTTTAGGGGTTAGGGTTTAGGGTTTTAGGGGTTTGGGATTAAAGGTTGGGGTTTGGGTTAGGGGCTCGGGAAAATTTAGTAGCAAGCAAGGCTTGTTGTGGATACACACATTGGTTGTGTGGCCATACATGTTGAGTCCTGCAAAGCGGCGAAGGCGGTGCGCTGTGGCATCACCCGTAAAGCGAAGACGTGCGGCGGCTCCAGGTCACAGCAGCTGATGTGGGTAGTCTCCAGAGCTTGGCCGTCGATTCGCTGGTTGCAGAGGTTTCCGGGTGTGTTGTGTGGGCACCCGCGGCTCCGAAGGTGATTGACACCATATCGCAAGCGGGCAGCACGCAGCGGGTGCCTGTGTGTTGCCTTTACATTGGCGGACTCGGAGGCATTGGTGTGCGTGCAATTGTGGCGCGAGCATGCGACAACACTGGGCGCCCAGCCCATGAACAGATTCCCGATATGAAAAGCATCTCATCCGGGAGGTTTTGTGTAGATGGCCTTGCTTTGGAGAGTTGCCTCTATAGGCTCTCGGATATACTTTTGCAGCTGACAGCCTCGAGATCGAAAATTGCATTGGGAGCCGGAGTGTGGGGTGGGGTGGGGAAGTTGGAGGGTTGCATGGGGGGTTTGGGATATAACCTTGCACTGCCCATAGTAAGGAATATACTATAGTTATAGTCTATGGTCATTAAGGTAATCAAGGCCGGTTTCACTAAACCACACTCGGGTTTTGGAGTGTACTATGTAAATTATAATAAGGACCCCCAAAACCTGGTTTGGGGTCGGGGCCTTCTTGAATAGAAAAGATTATTTTGGGTAACACATTACACTGGAACTACACGGGGGTTATAACGGCATACTATTGCCCTAAGCCTCAACATCGGGGCCGGCCTTAATTAGTACTAGAATAGGGTTTATAAGGGCACCCTGTCTCCCAGCCTAAACCAAGAATCCCGAATCCTCGAGTCTTACAGTGCGTTCAAGGGGCTAGGCATCTCTGAGCCCCAACATCCCCGACCCTAAGACCCGAAAGCCCTAAATCCTAAACCCATGGTATAGGTTGAAACTTGAGGCCTAGAATGTCCCAAGCCCCCAACCCTTAAACCTCAAATCGGCAGATGGCCTTCTGAGTAGATGAGGCTGTAACAAAGCTACTAGTAGGAGTCTTTCTGGAGGTGTCCTCATCCAACCGACAGGCCTCATATTTACTGGAACTAGGTCCTTAAAAACATAGTAAGTGCGGTCCTTGAGGACCTAATTCCACAATGCTAGTGTTTATGGAGCCTCTGAGTAATACTCAAAAATACGGTTGATGATATAAATCCTGCATTACCTTCAGGAACCTAAAGTATGGGAATGATGGTACATTCCTTCTTATGGGTAATGCAGGATTTATATCATCAACCGTAGGGAGCCTCGGCCTTGAACCCGGTACCCTAGAGTTTGGCCCTAAACCCTCAACTTGAAGCCCCGATCCCGGAATCCCTAAGCCGTACTTAAGCCCTATAAGTTGGGGGCTGCCCCCATTGTGTAACAGCGGGTTAACCTTTGTAGTACAAGCATATCTAGCCCAAATATATTTCCGAATATAGACCGTTATTACAGGCTGGGGGCCGTACCCAACATATACCCCTAAACCCTAAACCTTAAACCCGTGTCTGCGAGGCCGTGGCGACTTTCCTCTACCACGAGCTGCTGACTGACGGCCAGGCGGCGGCCTTGCCTAAGAGGGTTTAGGGTTTGAGGAACGGGGTCTATAAGGGTTTATATAATAAGGGATACTATAAGGGTACTACAATATAGGGGCTTAAAATATTTACCAGACCAGTTTGGGGGGTGTTCCTTATTAGAGTTAAAGTACAATGGGCCCCAAAACCCTATTCTAATTATTATCCTTTCTTAAGAGGGCCTAGGGGTTTAGGGGTTTTGGGATTTCAGAGGGGTTGACGAAGAGGGTTTCGTAGGTTTACTGAATAGCGGGACTCCTGTTTAACACTGACTACCACGAAAAGGGTTGCCCTCATTGTTACGGGGACACTAGGGAAGCAAGATTAGGGCCTTTAAAGAGCGGGCGATTATTAACCAGGGGTTTACATTCAGTTTGGGGATAGGGGTTGGCGCTTCCGAGCTTCTTGAATCGCACTCCCTCCAAAGTTCCAGTGCATGTTGCGGAGTGCGTGCTCCAGGTGCTGTCTCGTGCTCATTTTGGTTTTCTAGTCGCTCGACTTAAACTAGGATGTCCAGTAGTACCCTTATTCCGTTCTTGTAGCCCTAGGTTCCTTGTAAAGTTATCCAAAACCAAAAAGGGAGCCCTTTTTATTCCTAGGTTACTGGGCATGCTAGTAAGTCTCTGAAGTCCAAAGTTATCACAGGGCCACAGCATTCATATTCGGCTCCTGCTCTTGCTTGGCTTCCGTGAAGGCGCGTGTTGTCAAGTTGTGTTGTTTGTTGAGTTGAGAAAGGGAACTGCGAACATGGAATATTTGGTACTGAAGACTGCTGATTCATAGCCCCTCTGATATACCTTAAAGGATGTTTATCGGGATCCTTCTGGTAAGAGGGAGTTGATTCATCAGGGGTCCACAGCAACTCGTGCTAGGGTCTCTATTCTGTACATTACCGGCCGGCATATCATGATGTCGCACATATCGAGCTTCTGCTGTACTTGGAAAGTACGTGGCTTGCCTAAGCCGTAAGAAGCCCTATAAATCCCTTACTTACAGTTACAGGATTCAAACCCAAAACCCTAAACCCCTAAACCCTGAACCCCTAAACCCCAAACTCCTAACCCCTAAACCCTAAACCCCGACTTCGCACCTAAGAACCTCGCCTGGTTGTGTCCGAGTTGTGAGAGCGTAAACCCTAAACCTGGACGGATCCACCCAAAACATGGCTTTCTGGAGGCGAGTGTGCAGGAGATCAACCCACCGCGCCCCCAGGCGGCTGACAGCACCACGAAGGCAGACGGGTTTAGGGTTCAGGGTTTAGGGTTTTGCCTTCAAACGGGGCTGCGAGTTTTGTGGGCGCTGGCCGGCACCTCAGTCCGTGCTGAAAAAGGGTTTAGACTCCTTGAAGGGTTTTTTGGTTGAGTTTTGGGGTGTAGGGTTGCACAAAGCAAGACTGTGCAGAGGCCTAGATGCAAAAAGTGTTTTACAAGAATACGGGTGGTTGTTTGATCTTTCCAAAGCTTTGGGCCCTCTTTGGGGCTTTCAAGGAGTTAGGAAGTATGGTTTCAGTGAGCTTCGGAAATTTCAGTACCTCCTATAGGATGAGGGCAATGTTTTCGGGTCTCTTTTGGGGGCTTGTAGTAGAGGCTGCTGATTCAGTTAAGGAGTTCATCCCAACCTCCCTGCATAGCTTAAAAATATTTTGATCCCAGACCCTGAACCCATCTAAGCTTTAAACATGGTTATACATCCCTAAACCCTAACTGGTGTATAGCCTGTGAGGAATTTAAGACTATGGGGGAGTTTGCTTGCTGAACATGCTTTAGAGCTTCTGCTGAAGGAGACGGGAGCTTCCTCAAAGGTCCGTCCCAACCTTGTTCCCAAGGCTCCATGTACCTTTAAGGGCTCTGGAAGGGTACCACAAGGGTTAAGGGTTAAGGGGTGGTACCCTAAGGGCCCATGTACCAAAACAGTATTTACTTAGGCCTTCAAGGGGGTTCGGTTCCTTTCTAGGTACTTTTACTTTACGGTCTAGTGTAGACTTTACAGGTACATGGAGCCATAGGGGTTCGAAAGCACCCGGAAAGCTCGAATAACGCCGATGACTTTAATACGAACACCTCATGACTAACGACCCTAAGAACTCGAATAAAGAGTTCTGAGAACCCGAAGAACTGTCATGACCACAAACCTCGTGGTGTGGAGGTGCTTCCACAGGGCCCGCCAGTGCAGCCTCCCGGCCTCTTCCAGTTCTGATTAGGGTTTAGGGTTTGGGTTTAGGGGTCTAGGGGTCTAGGGGTTTGGGTTCTAGGGTTTCTAGGGTTTAGGGTTTACGGGTTTGAGGGTTTCGGGGTTTAAGGTTTTAGTTCTGAGATTTTCGAGTCAGGTCTCTGGCTTCGGCAAGTCTGGGGGAGCTTCAGAAAGTTCCCCACCCTATTGATCTTTACTGTGAGGACCCCGAAAAAGGTGTTCGGTGAAGTTCATCTTGTGCAAGAGTAGACCCAAACACTCCATGTACCTTTATCGAAGATACTTACCGTATGCCTTAGAGGGGTGCCTATATATAGGTACTTTCAGGCCTAAGTCCATGCTATTTGGGCACATGGAGCCTTAGGGAAAGCAGCTGGAAGGTCTTCGATAGGACTTGCTGCTGGTTCTCGTCTAAAGGCTGAGGATCTGAGAAGCTGAATACGGAGGTTTGAACAAGGAGTAAAAAGACAATTTCTTAAACAGTGTGCGACAGGCTGCAATCCTGCACAACCTGAAACCCTGAGCCTTGCTTGAAGGTCCATTTATAGTGTTGGTGACCAAGCTACTTATGGTGACATAATCTTGCTAAGCGCGATATTGCTGCCGAGCTTTATAAAATTCCAAACTGCCTTCTGCCCGAAGCTTAAATCACTAAAGCCTCATAGAAGCCATTAAAGGAACCCCTGCACCCTAACAACTCAGGCTGCGGCGAGCTATTTCGGCCAAGGCGGCTGCCGTGCCGACGGCCGGCCCCCCGATGCTGATGCGAGCCGTCTCGGGAGGCGCAGTCCCGGGGTCAAGTGCAGGGTTTAGAAAAATTAGGGTTGTGATCTAGGAAGCCGCCTCGGGAGGTGCAGTTTTGCGTTAGGAATGTTCTAGAGTCTATACGGTTTAAGGCTTGTTGCCTGACTCAGGGAGTTTATCAGGTTTTGCAGGACCAGATATGCTTGGAGCAGACAAGGGTTGAGGATTCAGAGTTTCACATGGTGTGTGTGTGTGTGTGTGTGTGTGTGTGTGTGTGTGTGTGTGTGGGTGAGAGAGTCGTGTGGGTGCGGTTGGTGTCTGAGTGCCAATGGGTGCGTCCAAATTGCAAAACAAGGGCTGCGGTCGTTGAAAGTTTAAAGTCTAAAGTTTAGAGCATGAAGGATGTACAAAAGCCTCCACGAATGTTGTTTAACTCTGCTGCACGCCGGCAGTCTGCTCTGTGGACGAAGCCTAAACCGACGTTGCTCGAAAATCCTTCGCCAGGCCTAAAGCTTGAAGGCTACAGTCTAGAAGCAACCATTTTCAAGCGACCCAATGCTTCGTTTGTTTGCTGTGGCGCTACCGGCCAAACTACACGGGTTTAGGGATCCCAGTCCGCAAGCCTGCAGGTGTAGAAGTAGGGTCGAAAGTCGGGGGCTGGCGGGCAAAACCGCCTAGACACTGAACGCTAAGCCCAAAAGGGTAGCCTAAACTCAAAGCCTCTTGGCCAGGCGGACAAAGCCAAGCACGCCATCGTGTCAGTGTGTGCCTTGCTTCTCACATGGTTGGGGGGTTGAGGGTCCTTGTAGGACCTCTGTGTTATTCTGTGGAGATGCTATTTTCCTATATTTTTGCATGACATTATATTATAGTATGTTATATATAATTATATAGAAACATACATACATGTATACTTGGATATGTAACGTATGTATGTGTATAGTCTCGCTTTCCCACGTTTTCTCAATCGAGCTGACTTAGGTTGTACCACCGATATCTACATGCAGATCACCTGCAGGTCTCATGACCTTTGCAGTTGAATTCTGTTTCCTTTACGGGAGTTATTAACCGGCACTACATGTCGGTCGCGGAGAAAAGCCGTAGAACCTTGAGCCTTCGAACCCTGAACCCTAAGTTTCTGAACTCAAGAAAACCTGAAACATAAACCCTACCCCTTAATTGCTAAACTCTGACCTTGTGAGGTAGGAGGCAAGCACTGCTAAACTCTGAAACCCCAGCCCTATAGCCCTAAAGCCGTAAGGTATCAAATCATGAAACCGCATGTCGTGAACAGGGTCGAAACGAAACCCTAAACTAAACCCCCAACCCTAAGCCCTAAACCTTAAGCCCAAAGCCTAAACCCTAAACCCTAAACCCTAAGCCCTAAACCCCAAGCCCTAAGCCCTAAGCCCCAAACTCCAAACCCTAAACCCTAAGCCCTAAACCCCAGACCCTAAACCCTGAGCCCTAAATCCTAAACCCTAAACCCTAAACTGTGGTACATGCAGTCGGAAAAGGGCTCGCAACAAAATAAAAAAACGAAACCAACCGAGGCCGAACTTGGCTTTGGGCATGTCAGACAGACGTTTGACCGAACGGCTCTTGGAAGAGCGGCTCGCCAGCTACACGGGGGGAATAAGTTTCATATCGGTGGTTGTCAAAATTATGGTCCCCTTTTTGGGGTACCCTAAGTATTAGGTGCCGTATTATAATAAGGACCCAAAAGGGGACCCTTATATTGCCAGCCACCCATATGGTGTTCAGGGTTTAGGGCTTGAGGAGGTCTGAAATTGCGGGTGTTCCACCACCACAACTAGTTGACTCGCGACCCCAGCCTAAACCCTAAACCCTACACCCTAAACCGCTCTGAAAAAATTAAAAGCTCCGGTTTCCGGATCTCCAGCAGGTCCTGGCATCGTTTACAGTAGAAGCCAAACAGGTTGGAAACCCGATAGCCTCAATCCCTAAGAGTAACCCCAAGGGTCCAAAGGTTCCAATAATTAGGTACTCTGTTTTAGGATAGTAAGGATAGTAGTTATGTAGGTTAGGATTTCGGAGAGTATGTGATTATTGGGTACTTGGACCCTTGGGGTAAAGTATAGGGAATCCCAGCACTATTTGTCCTTAACTAGGTTTCCAACTTTTTTTGAAGTTTGCTGTAGGTGCCGTCAGACATTTTGGGTTCGAGCCTCGGGCTGCTACGCCGCGTGCAATGTAAAGATCGGAGTACTTAATTGCAGTATATCTTTGATACTTCGAAGCCAGGTTCTCGTCATTGAGTACTTAATGATCGTACCCCTTATATACTTCCAAAGCCTCTTTCTAATCATGAGTCGGGGTTGTAGCACCTCCCCTTACATACTTACAAAGCCTCTTTCTGATCATGAGTCGGGGTTGTAGCACCTCGGCGTGGCGCTTTGCAGTGCAGAGCCCCCCCCGGAACCTCTGGGGCATAGGGTTTGCTTCATGGGATGAAGCCCGGAGTCAAAGTTATACATGTTCAATCTTTACTTTTTCCGAATGCACCGTGCGCTTTAGCTTTGAACCCTAAGCTGTTTAACCCCGAAGGTTGAAACTAGAATAGATTACAAAGCTTTTTTTTGATTATTCTGGTCCATATATTGCCCTTATGATCTACGCGCTCCAAGCGGAGGGCAGCTAGCGTAATGAACCCCGACCTTTAAACTCAAGACTCTGAAACCTTCATCTTTAAACTCTTAACCCACCCGGCCATGTGGTCTCGTCCTTGCGAAGCTGGAGGCAAACAACGTCTAAACCTTAAGCCCTAGACCTTACACATGATAATTGGGAGTTTCCGAAAATTAGGAGTGCTTGATTTTGGGTCTTCATAATAAGGCACTATATCAGGGTCCCCTATTTTCGGAAACCCCCCCAATTACCGATTACTGGGAGTTTCTGGTCCCAGGCTTTTCGAGAAGCACCTACTCGCGCAAGTGCGAGTGGCGCAGCCGGAGGAGTTCAAGGCCTTCGTGAAGGCCTTCCTGCTCAAGGCGGGCGGTTTAGGGTTTAGGATTTACCGGGCTGCTGGACAACGAGGCCTGCTGCAAACTTCGGGTTTAGGGTTTAGGGTTTAGGGTTGGAGGTGAAAAAGGGTTGGAGGTTTAGGATTTAGAGCTTCAGCCCTGAATCACTGCAAGCGAGGTTTGGGGTTTTGCTGCTCAAGGCGGCGGGCTTCGGATATGAGGTCTAGGGTTTTGGATGAAGGTGTAGGAAATTGGGATATCGAGACGGGGGTGGGTGCTTTCTGAAGCGTTACCTTGCAGTTGTCGTGTTGAGCATGTATATCTGACCTTTCCAGATTCCTGTAAGGCGGCGCAGCGTCTCATAGAGTAGTCACAGAGTTGTCTTGTTTGGCTTCTGTGGTGTTTTAGGCTACAGTGTCTTCTAGAATGAACTCATGCCGATTTAAGGCAACCCAGACCGCAAACCAACCAGACTCTTTTTCGCAGGTTCCCTGCCTTTTTGCAGGGTCCCTACAAAACAGCCATAGTTGGCTTTGTATTAGGACCGTACAAAAATGTCAGGGTAGGGATTTCCCCCAAGCCCCAAACCCTAAATCGCAATTTGATGCACAACCCTTAGCCCCGAACGCCAAGACTATATCAATCCTAATCCTTCACCCATACCCATGCAGACAAGCCCTGAAGACTTACCTTTGGTTTGTGGAGAATGGAAGAATGGTAGTAATTGTAGTTATAGTTGTACCCCATTCCTCCATTCCCTACTAACCAAAAGATAAGAAGACCGCAAGGTGGCGCAGCCCCAAGCACCAACACTATATCAATCGTGATCTTTCATGGTTCAAAACCCCATACCTAAACCCTAAACCCTAAACCCCTGAAGACCGCAAGGTGGCGCAGCCTACCTACAGCCACAAACCCAAACCCTAAACTAAACCCTATCATAAGCTATTATATACCCATTATATGGCCCATTACAGGGTAGGGGTCCCCATTAAGGGTCCCTCCTTTTACGCTTTGAAAGGTGGCGCAGCCTACCTACAGCCACTCCATCTTCTTCAACGCTCGGACGCGGGTCTCCTGGCAGATGTGCCCCGAGGCCACGCAGCTGGTCGCTGCAGCGCGCATCCTGCGCTTCCTGCTTCGGTTCCCCGGCTTTGGGGCTCACTGCAAGGGTTCTTAAAGGGCTCCTTGAAGGGATCTATAGGGTTCCTTAACGGGATCTATAATAGGGATTAGGGTTTAGGGTCTACTTGGAGGATCATTTGGCTTCCCAGAGACTCCAATATCCCTTAATAAAGGAATATACCTTAAATTATAGTAGGATCCCTAATATGATTTAAGGTATATTCCTTAATTAAGGGGTATTGCAGTCTCTGGGTTTGGGGCTCACTTGGAGGATCATGGGACTTAGTAGGTGAGGCAGGTATCCTAGGGTTCCTTTAAAGGGGTTACTATAAGGGGTACTATAAGGGTACCAGAATATACTTAGAGGATCATGGGACTTAGTAACTACAGTTATAAGTTCCCTAATTGGGGTTGTAAGTAAGGGTAAGTAGAGTTACCCCAATAATAACCCTAGTTACTAAGTCCCATGATCCTGTAAGCAGAGCTTCAGGAGGTTTAGAGGAAGGTGTAGGGTTTGGGGATGCTGGAGGCACTTCAGAGAGACCCCGTTCAAAAAAGGGTCAAGGGGGGTTTGGGGTTGAAACGTCGGGGGTTTGGCAGGGTGTACAGGGTTGAGAGTAGGTCGGGAAGGTTGGGGCTAAAGGAGGCCTCTGAATATCCTGAGGCCTCGCGTATGTTACATGTATCCCCTAGTCTAGTTTTTCAGGCCCTTGCATTACATGATATTGCTGGGTTTAGGCTTCAACGTTCGGATTCGGGGCTCTGGTATAGAAAGATAAGAATGAGAGGGCCTAGCCAGTGGGTTCCTCTTAGGGTTAGGGCTCAAATACTGGAAACTTTGCATCCCAAATGCTTCGCTTAAACCCGTGATATTTGGTGACTTAGAAGCTTCTGAACCCGAACCCATCACCCACAACCCTACAAAATCCTTCAAGAAGTCCTATAGAACCCTGCTAGAAACCCTTGTAACACAAGATCCCAGAAGCCTGGGTAATTACAAAACGTATTCCTTTGTGTTCGGCATCTTTACTACAATGTGTCGGGTTTCCGAAAATAGGCGAGCCCTTAGTATAGTACACTAAATTTGATCCTCATGATGGGACTCCAAATAAGGTACCCCTCGTTTCGGAAACTCCCATAACATAGCTATAAGCCCTAAACCCCAAAACCCTAAACCCTAAACCCTAAGCTCACCGAAAAAGGAGCGTTAAAAAAAACACCCTAAGCTCAGGTGGGCGACCCAGCGGCGTGCACTGAACGGACTCCCACCGCTCAGCGTTCCCTGGGCGCCGCCTCCCGCTCCGACGGTGCCCGGGCTTCAAAAGCGTGCGTTTTGGGCTTAGAGGGCCTTATACCGCTCAGGTAGGGCTTGTAGGGTTCAGGGCTTATGGGGCTTGGGGTTTAGGGCGTATATGGCATACAAAAGGGCTTAGGGTTAAGGGTGTTTCGGGCTTCTGGGGCCTGCCCCTAAGGGTTCCTTAAAGGGATCTTTTAAGGTTACGATAAGCAAATTAAAGTGTTCGGAACTTTTAGGGCCTTATACCCCTCAGAGAGCTATAAGGGCTCTATAAGGGAATTAAGGCATTAGAGGGCTTTTTGGGCTTATAGGGCGGGTAGGGGTTTAGGGTTTTGGGGCGTTGGCTGCTTCGGTGTTCTACATCCTTTTTCACAGGGCACAGGGGATATAGGTTTTCGGGTTTTTCAAAGCTTTCGAACATCCGAAATGCAGTACTCCAGTAGGTGTCGGGTAGATTAGTAAGGTTTGTCAGGTATTCCAGATCCTGGCCCCGAGGGCTAAACCCTGGAAGCCTAAACCGACCAAAGTACAGGATGACAAAACCCAGCCGTTATCGACGGCCCACGAGTGCCGGCAATCTGACTTCAAACTTACAGAGGGGTTAGAGCCAAGCCCTGACCTAAACCTTTAAGCAGCCGGAGCCTGTCGTGCAACCCTATAGGCCCAGAGAAGCCACAGTTATTCTGGCGAAATAAGACCCTTGCCCTACCAGAACCGGCCTAGAAGGGGCCTAGAACCTCTTGTGTTCGGAAACAGAGTGATTTTTCTCAAAGGCAGCAGATGGGTGCAGATAGTGTTCTTTCTACGAGCCAGTCTAGCATCCTTCCCGACAAGAACAGTATCGGGTCCAGACTAGAACAGTATCGAGGCTGGGATATCAGCCTACAGCCCTTAATCCTAAAACCTTCAGCCCTCTATCCACAAAGCCCCAAAACCTGTGAAAGCTAAGGCCCATGGAGCTGACAGAGTAAATCCTAAACCAGCAATCCTGAACTCGAAACCCGTAAGGGGGCCTTGATAATTACCAATACTATTTCGGTGGGTTCTTCCTTATAAGTATAGTATAGTATACCCAAAACCCTATTCTGATTATCAAGGCCCCTACATCAAGCCCCAACAGTTTCAACTGTTGGAGCCCTTGCACCCTAAAGGGTTTAGGGTTTAGGGTTAGCGACGGACCTTTCGAAGTCCTCACCCACGCTTTTGACAAGTATCGCCCAAAGCGGTACGGCCTAAGCGGCCCTACAGCCTTAAACCGAAACCACCAAAATCCGAAACTCTGGGATCCTGAAATCTCAACTTCATCAACCCAGCCTTAAACGGGAGTTTCCGAAAGATGGGGGTACCTGATTTGGGGGTCCTTATAATAAGGATCCTACTAATTAGGGTTCTATATTACAGTCCCCTATTTTCAGAAACTCACATATGCCTACCCCAAATTGTAGGATCCTGATTATAAGGACCCGCAAATAAGCTACCCCTAATTTTCGGAAACTCCCAAATGTCTAAAAGACAAAACCCAGGAGATGAGTGCGGCTGCGCAGCGTCACAGCTGGAGGCGCATCGAGATGGCTTTGGCCAACGAGGAGGGGCGGTTTAGGGTTTAGGGTGCAGGGTTTGGGTTTATATAGGGTTTAGGGTTTAGCGTGCAGGGTTTGGGATTTATATAGGGTTTAGAGTTTATAGAGGGTTTAGGGCAGCTTAGTGTTGAGGGTTCTGGGTTTAAGGCGCTGAAACCGTAATGATCCCTCACTTTGAAGTATTTCGAAACCTTTCAGGTTTGGGGCTTTCGGGTGTTGGGAGCTTAGGGCGGAGGGTTGGGAGTCGAAATTGGGAAGTTAAGTCTTTACTAGGATGCCCAGTGGTACCCTTATTCCCTTTTTGAAGTCTTAGGTTCCTTATAAAGTTACCCAATACCAAAAAGAGAGCACTTTTTATTCCTAGGTTACTGGGCATCCTAGCTTAGGTATTGGAGTTTCCGAGCGGCGCCGAAAACCTTTCGTCTGAGACGTTTCTGTTCGCCTGGGTTTTGAAAACCCCAAACCCCAAACGCGTTGAACGAAAGGCAGGCAACACTTGTTAAGCTTACAGTAGACCTAAGCCCGACCTTTGGAAGTTCAGGACTATGGAAATTGAATACCTAACCCTGGACTGGACCCCGAAGGGAACATGGTGGGTGGCTAAGCTCAAAAATGCAAGGAACGCAACACCTCAACTGCCATTTGGGCTTGTAGGAGGACTCGCAGGTCTGCAATGCTGCAAACGCCGTCATAAAGCCCGATGACACCCTTATGAAGCCCTTTGAATCCCTACATTACACTGGTCCCCGAGACCTTAAAAGCCCTAAGGAGCACAAGTACGGCCTGGCGGAGCTCGGCTTGCTGCTAGACCGTGGCCTGCCACCGGATGCTCGCTTTAGGGCTTTGAAAGCTTTTTTTCAAGCGGTTTAGGGGTTTAGGGTTTAGGGTTCTTCAAGAGGCCTGGATGCAAAAAAACAGGGTTTAGGGTTCTTGCAGGGTTTAGTGTTTTGTTTCACATGTTTTTGAAACAGCAGCTAGGGTCTTATGGGGAGCAGTAGTAGGCGTCGTCGGGGTCGTGAAGACCCTAAACCCTGACCCGACAAGAGCAGCTTAGTGCTCGTAGTCATGTACTTTCATATTAGTGACGGGGCCAGCCCAGGACACCTGCCCGTTTGGTATTACGCCGCTTCTTTTGGCTGCCACCATCGGACACCTGACGGCGGCACAATTCCTTTTCGTTCGGGGTGCAAGCCCTCATGTCCTGGGTGGGCAGCCGCCCATGCTGCCTGTGGAGGCAGCAGCACGGCACAACCATCTGCGCAGCTTGGTCATAGTAGCACTTCTTTTTCTAACTAACGCATCTTGTGGTTGTAGATTGTAGGATGGACTGTTGAGAAATCATGTCTGCTCTCCGTTTGTTGCTAAACCCTAAACCCTAAATCCTAAACTCAAACCCTCAATGAACCCCCTTCCTTCACTCCAAAAAGGCATCGTAGAGCTCCTACTGGAGAACGGCTCTGTTGCCGGCCGTGCCCTGCACTTTGCGGCGGCTGGCGGCTCCACGGACGTTGCCACTTTCTTGTTGGCCAAGAACTGTTCCCGGGCTCGGTCAGAGGGAGGAAATAGGGCTTCGCGTTGAGAGTGGGTTTAGGGTGTCAGTGTAAAGGTCCACTTGTTTGGGCACTTGTCCCCCACCTGATGCGACCGGCAGAGGGCGGGCGTCTGGGTTTCGGTTTCCAAAAGACTGTTGGGACTCCTGGCGGCTACGCGGAGCTGGAAGCGAGTCGACCTTCAACAATTACCAATATCGTTTTCTATACTGAAGTTATAATGTACGCCAAAACCCTATCATTCTTAAGGTTCCTCTTTTTTACTGACAATACAACGTGCCCAAGCCCTGTTCTAATTATATAGTAAGGGAACAGCTTCACACATGTGGGCTGTTGATCGGAAACCCGGCCAGCTCGGGTTTCTTCAACTTGGTCGCGTTTGGCGACTCCTGTCATGCTTTGTTTGTGCACCTTCTTCGGGTCCAAGAAGCCTCAAACTTCTATAACGTTGGCCTAATCTGCTAACCTAGGATGGGCGGCGCAGACATGATGTTAATCACAACAATAAATAAACCTAATCAATGACCTAATGTGCGCCATAAACCCTAAACCCTACACAGGTTCGGCAGATGCGCTGGTTTCTGGGCTCTCGCCCGTGGCCGTTGCCCTGGCATCCAGGCAGCACTCCATGGCGTCGCTGCTGCTGCCGCATTGCACTCCGAACCTCGGCTGATCGGTTCTTTTAAGGCGGTGTTTAGTTTAAGGCTTAGGGGTCTGTCAGGGGTTAAAGCTTCGCCTTCGGGGTTTGGGTTTTACCACTCCGGCTGAAACTTGGTCGCCGTGATAATTTGAGTGACACGCTTGGAATCATTGGTCAAAGCCTTCCCCACACCCCCGGGAGGATCCAAAAAGTAGATCCCTCAATGGGGGGTTTCCTATAAAGTACCCTTAGTAGTAGAGGGCCCCAAATTAGGGGATCTACTTTCCCTGAAAGATCCCTAAACCCCAGACCCCAAAACCCTAAAACCCTAAAACCCAACACCCTAAAACCCGAAACTCTAAACCTTTTTTTACCTTTTAGATCCTCCCGGGGGTCTCGGTCTGTCCAGCAGTATCCACACAAGCCACGGTGCTCGACGAGGCCGGAGCAAACAGAGGAGCAAGAGTTGCTGCAACACAGCTTAGGGCTTAGGGGTACTTAGAATTAGTTTCTATTTTTTGGGGTACTTAGAAATATTTTTTAAATTTTTTTGGTTATTATAGGCCCTAAGAAACAGCTAAAATTAGAATTTGGTGCTAGGGTTCTAAGATCAGTATAGACAGCAGCTGCAAGCAGCGACAACAACACCAATGATGAGAATGGGAGGAGAAGAGGAGTACCAGTCCTGCTGCTACCCCCAAGCCCTAAACCCTAACGCCCCAAACGCTGAACCCGAAATCTATAATCCTGGCCTTAGCAACCTGGAACCCCGGAACCCTCATCGCCAAGCCCGAAACCCTGAACCCTGAATCCTACTCCGCCAAATCGTAAGAGCTTAAGCCCTAAGCTCCAAACGTATGGCCGGAAGAATTAGGAATAAGATCCCGTTGTCAGTTGTAGTCTCTATGGAGCATCCCATGCTTCTACTTAATCTGTTTATTCGGGACGTCTAGTACTAAGATGCCCAGTAGTACCCTTATTCCCATTTTGCAGTCTTAGGTTCCTTATGAAGTTACCTAATACTTAAAAGGTGCGACATGTTCAGCTGGGCGGGTGGCAAAAATCCCAAAAAGGAAGCCCTTTTTATTCCTGGGTTACTGGGCATCCTAGATTACCAGTCGGGTTTCTTGGCGCCGAGGACGGCTCTCCAAGCGACAATCCCGGACGACGGTTGCGCCTCCACCGGCTTGGCTTCAAAGCTGAAGTTGATGCTTTGATTTGGGAGTTTCCGAAAATTAGGGGTAGCTTATTTGGGGGTCCTTATAATCAGGATCCTACTATTTGGGGTAGGCATTTGGGAGTTGCCGAAAATATGGGACGCAAATATGGCGCCCTTAATAGTAGGATCCTTATTAGAAGGACCCCCAAATAAGGTACTCATTTTCTGAAACTCCCATTTGCATGGGGGGGGGGCGTAGTAGGTGGTAGCCTTCAACATTTTTGGGAGCTCCTACCAGAAGCTAAACTGTTCGGGCACAGGTAATTTGTTCAGCCCCTCAGTTCGTACTACTGGGTCCATGGGTTAAGTCGCATCGGCTTGTGTTTAGTCGCATCGATCGAGTGTGCAGTTGGGGATTCTGCTAAAACGTGTCAGTTCGCATCCTCGGACATGCTTGTAGACCTAATGATTCAGCCAGTGTGCAGCTGCTGTTTGCGATTCCAGTGGTACCGGTTGCTGGCCCAAAGTCTCGAGCGGTTGCCTGTGGAATCAAGCGTCTACATGGGGAAGGGCTGGGTTTGACGTGCTGTGATGTTATGGATGATCACAGTGAATACTTATGTGTGCCTCCACCGGTTGCTTGTGGAATCGAGCGTCCACATGGGGAATGACTGGTTTTGGTGTGCTGTGACGCCCTCGACGTGTGTCCCGAGCGAGTGCTTCTGGAATCGAACGTCTACATGGGGAATGGCTAGTTCATGTGTAACCACTTGTGACTCGACCGGCCCTATGGAATCGAGCGTCTACATGGAGAATGGCTGGTTATGATGTGCTGTGATGTCATGGGTGATCACTTTGGTTGTGTGTGTGCCTCAAGTGTATGTAAAATCGAGCGTCTACATGGGGAATGGCTGGTTTTGATATGCTGTGCTGCCTCTGACGTATGTCATGAGCGGGTGCTTTTGGCAGTCGAGCGTCTACATGGGGAACGGCTGGCCTTGATGCGTTGTGATGCCATTGATGTGCGTCTGGCTCGCGAAATTGAGTGTCCACATGGGGAATGGCAAGTTTCTCGAGCGGTTGCCGGCCGAATCGCGCGCTCACATGGGGAATGGAACAGGTTTTGACAGCCGGTCGATAGGTAGGTGTAGGGTTGGAGGTCGCGCGGCGCTCGCGCGAGCTCGCGCGGGCGTCGCGCAGGCCTACTATCTATACCACAAGTCAGAACCCGAAAATCCCTGCAAAATACACTGTTGCAGTCCCCACTCGCGAACTAAACAAGCCCTGCGCAGGAGTTCCTCTGGCATGTTTCAATACTGCAAAATAAGCCCAAATACCTGCGGCACGCGCGCAGCTCACCTGTTTCGTTACATGTGTTGAAACCCACCTCCGGGCGGCGTCCACATGGGGTTTCGATATTTCTGGTGTGATGAAATGAGGTGATGTGAGTGCAAAATAGCCACGAATACCTGCGTCACGCGGCCTTTCTACTCATTTCGCTACATGTGTTGAAACCCACCTCCGTGCCGTGTGCCCATGGGGTTTCGCTACTTCTGATGTGACTAAACGCGGGTGATGCGACTAAACGCGGATCGAGCGTCACTTTGGGGTGTTGTGACTAAACGCGCCCTGACGCGACTTAACCCCGCTACACGTAGGGCACCACAAGCACATAAAACATGAAGTGTGCAGCCGACGTAGGAACGCGTTACTTCGCAAAGTTGATGTTGCTAACTTGATTGCTTGGGTGGTTGAATCCAATAACCCACTGCTCGTGACTACTTTTACCCCTATACTGTATATATGGGGGGCACAGGAGGGATTTGGGGGCTACGGGTAGCTGTCGTTATTACTATGGCGAGATGACTCTGAATGCGAGCCTTGTCAGTTGTCCTATCGGCGGCGATTGTGACTTGGAGTATAGTAAACCCCATAAAGTTGGAAATCGGATTAAGGCCAAATAGTGCTGGGATTCCTTATACATTAGTCTTAAGGATCGAGGCTATGGGGTTTCCAACTTTTGGGCTTCTACTGTATAGGGTTTAGAGTTTGCGGTTTCGGTCTTCGGGTTCCCAGACCCCCGGGAGGATCCAAAAAGGCAGATCCCTTAATGGGGGTTCCTATAAAGTACCCTTAGTAGTAGAGGGCCCCAAATTGGGAGATCTACTTTCTAGATCCTCCCGAGGGTCTGGGTTAGCGGTTAAAGAAAGTTGCAACACAACGGAAGGATGGGTGTGTACTACGCTTGATCTCAAGGGCACTTCATCTGAAAGCGCCAGGCTTTGTGACACTTGGCTAACACGAAGGAAGGGCCTGCCATTTGAGAGAACTCGAGGTAAAGTCTAGGATGCCCAGTAGTATCCTTATTCCCTTTCTGTAGTCCTAGGTTCCTTATAAAGTTACCCAATACCAAGAAAAGAGCCCTTTTTATTCCTAGGTTAATTACTGGGCATCCTAGAAGAAGTGTCTTTTGTAGCCTACTTCTTCGAAACAAGAACCCAAAGCCCTGAAAGACGCCTATAGCACAAAGCAAAACCCTATGAACCACAGTTACCGAACTTGCTCTACAACGCGGGCCTCGGCCTTGCTAAGTAGGAGGGAAAAAACCCCTAAACCCCAAAGCCTTCAAAATTTCTGTAGCAAAGTACATTTGCAGACGGAAACAGGTCCTTCAATTTAAAAATTGCCTTGAAAATGATTGCCTTGAAAATGTTTAAAAAACCAAAAGCGCTAAAGCCTTTTAAGTTGTTCAAGACGCCTACAACCGAGGCACCCGGGTCGACGTTGGCCCATCTCGCGGCCTCCGTGGGCGGCCTTTGTGAGGGCTTTGTCCTAGCTCTGCGGCTTGGCTTCCTTAGGGTTTCGGTTTCGGGGTCAGGATGAGGAGTTTTGAGCTGATGGCTTACCAGAAAGAGTTCTTTCAGGGTTCTATCGGGCTAAGCAACTTTGTGGTTTAGGGCTTCGTCGTTTGATAGGGTTGGGGGAATATATGGGCTGAATTTTCGTCTCACAGGATTTTACAGCGGCTTAGCGCTTCTTTGTGCCATTTGCTAAAGGTCCTTAACGAAAACACAAGGCCGGCTATTCAATTATACGACCCCAGCATAGATTATACAGCAAGGCCGTGCTTTTTCTTCCCGGCAACCCTTATAGACCCCATGTGAAACCCGCACATGGCCCTTTAACGAAGGGCATCACTAGACGAGCTCCCAGTTTCGGGCGTCTCAGTTCAGGGATATCAGTCATGAGTTTGGGGCAGAGGGGGTTTCTGCAAAGTTGGCTCGGGTTTTGTTGGCATGCGGGTTCGAGATTTTGGGTGTTGCGAGTTCAGATGCATCTTGCGGAGTTCGGTGTTCAGTGAGCATAGTGTCGGATTGGAGTTAGGGTTGACCTGCAATCCTAACTCCTCTGCTCCAGGTTTAGGTTTTTGGCGTGTTGCCGTCCGCTTTTGGATCGACGCTGGCCTCATTTAAAGGCTACTTAAGGGATCAAGAAAACTACTCACAGGGTTTACGTTAGGCTGTATTGGGTTTGAGGTTTTAGGTGCGGCTTTGCTTCAAAAAAAAGTGCGGCTTTGCTAGCGTCTAGGCTTAAGGTTTCGGTTGGGGCTACACGCACATGCACCCTATCTGCAGTTAAAGCTGCAGTTGAGGTTGTCCTTCTCTTGTTGTCCCTACTTCGTAGTCCTGCCTGCATCACCTTCTTGAGTACCCTGAACTACGAGAGCGTTGCTTTGTGCCTGATGACCGATAAGCGACAATGCACTGCTTTTCGTCATTTTGTGTCTATCAACAGCATGGGCCCCAGGCCCTAAACAGTATACCCAGGCCCGGGCCTTGTCCTTGCTAAGTCGGAGAGAAAAATACCTAGGATGCCCTTATTCCCTTTTTGCAGTCCTAGGTTCCTTAGAAAGTTACCTAATGCCACAAAGGGAGCCCTTTTATTCCTAGGTTACTGGACATCCTAGTACTCAGGTCCCAAGAGGTCCTCTGTAGACCATCGTTTGAGGTTCCGGCTACTGCCTCTCAGCGCCAGCGTTGCACTGAACAACCACCGCAAGTCGCCCTTGGACCCTCGGCAATTTGACAATCCCACGGGTCCCTACACCCTAAGCCACGCCTACCCCTAACTGAGGGCCTTAAGCCTAGGAGCCTTAAGGAAATTGCTGAAACCCGAGCCCGTAAAATACTCCCTTTTTGGATCCCAGACAAGCAATAACTCAAAACACGCTGTAATAGCCTTAATCATTTGAATATGGTTGTGGATGATACTGCAGGATAACTACACGAAGGAGCCATAAGGCAAAGTTAGTCTAACTAGTTTGTCAAGCCGCCATGAAGGACCCTAAACTTTCAAATCCTTTAAAACAAAAGGTTTCAAGAACACTGCGAGCCCGAGCACTGTTCTTCCGGGTTGGAGGATCATGCAACATCCATTCCACAATGTTGTAGCCTGCGTGTAGCATGGTTTAGCATGCAGTCGTATTCGCTTAGTTGTTCGCAGGGTTTAAGTTACTTCATCTCAAGTCATGACCGACCTGCAGCTAGCATGCAAGGTTGAGCTGACATCGATTGCTTGCCATGGCAGCTGATCACAGCCGCATATGTCGGAAGATGTTGCCTCCCATCCCAGCATATTGTTGAACCACATCAAGTACCATCATAGTACTATCAACCGCCTATCCTGCTCACCCGAACGACCTGAAAGCAAAACACACTATGGCTTGATTCTGGCCTGTTCTACCTTAGCAGTTGGGATTTAGCTCCAACTTGATCTGCCTGACTAAGCCCATGACGACTCATGTAGCATCCGCTGGGACATGTTGAAGGCTGTGCCGGCGGTTCCGACACTGGACGCAGCGTTGAATGCTTACATCACGATCCGGCGCAGATCTCCGGTCTGGAGAAAGCCGCAAGGCTCCTGGCTGCGGAGATATCCCTTGCCACCCATGGATCATTCTTCCCACAGAAGGCCACGCATGACAGCATCACGAGAGAAGCACTGTCGCTGACGAGCCGAGCGGATTGCCAAGCGAAAGGTCACGGCGGCCTGCCATGCTCCAAACGGTCAAAGGTTCTGCGGTGGACAGCTTAGATTGTGGGTGTTTGGGCAACCATGAAACTCTTTTTGCAGTAGAACCCCTGTGTATCCGAAGTCTGACCTCCACAAGGCCTTAAGCACACCCACCACCAATAACAGGGCACCAGGTTTAACACATTATTCTGCACAGTGCTCATTCTTCAATCTCCGGAATGCCCCATCGAAAACCATCTAAACTGCCCGAAATCCTCGACCGGAAAGCGTAAACCCCTGAAATCGCCCCGAGAAGGATTTGATGTCTACGACACTTCGCATGGCCGTGAAGCCTCAGCTCTATGCCGCGCTGGGAGCTGCTGCGGAGGACCCTTCATGTTACAGGAGCAGTAGGAACACTTCTTGCTCAGGCTTTGAATGAGGTTTCGGGATTTTTTCTGATGTAGGATGTTTTGGTGTAGGGCTTTCGTCACTGAATTGTTACGGTTTTTCTCCTCATTATTCTTGTCATCGCCACCAGCAGCATCAATGTTTTCCCTGGCGTTGCATCATCTCCCCGGCAGCCGTGCTTACCGTCATGTTTTTCACCACGACCATCTTCAGTGCCATCGTCATCATCATCGACATCATAGCCATGATCATCATCACCATCGTTTGCAACAGCAACATGAACATCATACTTTTCACTGTCATTGGTAGCAGAGACGCTATGATGGCTCTGAATTGCTCAGAGCAGATACTTCTTTCGAGGATCCGTTGGCGTCGGAGCTGTATTTTGTGATTTGGAACCGCTTTGCTTAACAAGTAGTGAGCTTTCTGCGAGCATAGGTCAGGTGGCTTCGTAGAGCAGGCTAAACGTTCAGAGGCAGTATAGAGTTTAGAGTTAACAAAAGGCCTGTCCCGCCGAAAAATGACGCTTCTCCGAAGAAACTCGAAGGTCTTGTCCTTCAGCACAAATCCGAAGCCCTGAACCCTAAACCTTACATCCTAAAACCCTAGGCGGGTGGGAAAAGGCCCTAAAACCCTGATCCCGACGAGGCCGATGATGCGGCGCGGGCAGGTGAGGTCACTGCTGCGCTGGCGAAGCACGCAGACCCTGCAGCCTCAGCCCCTCGCCAAAGACATTCAGAGAGAAGCCTGAAAAAGCGGAAATACTATTCACAGGAATCGTCATTAGAGCTGTAGACAAAGATGCCCCAAAACCTTAATTACTCGTATGGGCAATTTGGGATTCTTCTATAGTATTTCTGGGTTTTCTTTGCGGAAACGGAGGGATGCACATGTGGTTTACATGCTTGCATGCAATGCGGGGCAAGTCACTGCCATGCCTTGTCATGGAAAAGACACGCAGTCTACTGCATGTGACGTATAACGCGACATAGTGTAAATTGCGCTGCACGATCCCCTATACCCTAGGCCCAACTTAAATCCTAAGCCTTAAATACAAGCCTGGTCCTTCCGAGTGTGACAGCCGATATACGCTTGTGTGACTGTCGGGCTACTGGTCGGCACCCTTCCGCTGATTTCTCGCAAGAGCTATGGAGACTTAGTTTCAGAGCAGAAGAGGGCACCAAGAAAGGGTTTCGGTTTAGGCTTTCGGGTTGGGTCCACACGCATCCCTGTAAGGTTTCTAGCGGCTCTTCTGACTCAGAGCAGGTCATTCTTGCGCTGCTGCATGTGAAATGTGTTAGGACGATCCTCTTCTCCTATGGCACCAGACTAGATAGACTGATAGACTCCTAAACCCGGAACTCTAAGGCTTAACTCCATAACAACATGTCCGGAGCCTTAATCCAACGTGAAATCCTGACCAAAGGCAATTGAGGCTGGCGTCGAAGCACGCCAAAAAAATGACTATGCAACATCTGTTAAACATGCGCTAAAATGTCACACGACAGGTTTTTGAAGCCGCGGAGCCGCCCCAGCAAGCACTCAAACACTCGAAACTCTGGACCAAACACTTGGATTTAGGGTTTGATGAGGGCTGGACCATATGCTTGACCTATGACCACTTGAGGACGCACGTGGTTTCAACCTCCTGGATCTTGCGGCCTTCCAGGGAGATGCGGCCTCTCGGCCGGCTGTTGGGATCTCTTCGTTTTGACGCCAATATGGGAGTTTCCGAAAATAGGGGACCCTTATTTTGGGGTCCTTATAATAAGGATCCTGCTATTTAGGGTACTATACCAGGGTCCCCTATTTTCGGAAACTCCCATATAGAGGGATGCTTCGGGTCTAGGGTTCGGGGGAGTCACGGCAAGAATGAGAGGGCTATGTAACCCTAGGAGGAAAGGCAAAGATGGGTCTGTCGGGCTTCCTTCTTAGATGACAGAAAGGTCTTGCATTTAGGATGTTTGGTTTAGGCCTGTAAGGTTTAAGGGCCTTCAGGCTTTATGTGTCGGGTGTTGAGACGAAGAGAGTGCTGATTATTGGCTTTCCGGCGAAGTCCCCAAACCTTTGAACCACTTGATCCCCCAACACCCCCCAAGCCCTAGACCTCAAACCTAAATCCTAAACGTCCTAAACATACCTTACAGGCGCCCTCCAGGAACCCCTCAAAGAAGCCTTGGATGGAACCTTGGAGCTCTCAAAGCCCCTTTTCAACACCTTTTCAACACCAGAAAGTTTCGGGAACAGTCTCTATGAATGCCCATAAAGCCCCAGGAAAAGAAGCAACCGCTAGAACCCGCGAAGGAAACCCGCAAAGGAGCCCTTCAAGAAGCCCATTCCAAACAGCTACTCCTCGACTCAGGCGCTGGTGGACACGATGTTGACTGCGGACTCAAAGCTTCTAGGCCTAATATGTCACTGCTTCAGGTACAGCGTTTAGGCTTTAGGGTTTGAGGTTACGGTTATCAGTACGACACTGACCTAGTCCTGCTCTGGTGAAGACTATTATGGTTATGACATCAGTAGGTCTAGCTTGGTAATCATCACTATCATCTTCGTCGTTTTTATTGCGAAAGTTATGATTATTATCATGATGCTGTTTAGGCTACCCAGTAGTATTGTGTTGCAGGGTATCGGTTACAGTGCTTTCAAGGTTTAGGGTGCCGTATCCTGGATTTATACTGTTTCTTCGAGTTTTCCTGTCAAAACTGAACAGCATGGGTTGAAAACCCGAAACTGCAAACCCCAGACAATCAGCCTTAAATTTTAAAGCCCTGCATCCTGTTGCTGCAGATGCCACGCCCTCAGCCCGCAGCCCCCAAATCTTAACTCTTGTTGGTGAGAAAGCCTCAGCCCTAGACGCAAAACCCAAATAATGCTCAGTCGTACTGCGTAACCCTACACACAAAACGCTGCCCAAGACCTACTCTCGGTCACTCCTAAACCTAAGCTTCTTTTACAATCCCACATCCTGTTTTAGGGCTATTGGCAGACTCAGGCTTGCGCAGAGCGCTGGGAGGCTGTCCTCGCTCATGTGGGCGCACTGGTGCGGACAGTCCGAGGCGAAGGGGCTTAGTTCACGGTTGAGGGGTTTAGGATTTAGGGGGTTCAGGGTATATGCATCGTCCAGGTGTAAAAAGGGGGGTTCAGGCTTTATGGGTTTAGGGTTTAGAGACAAGGGTCCTTCTGGGGATGTTTCCGAAGTTTTTCTTAGTACTGTAGTAGGGCTAGGAGACTTCAGTCTTTTCGGTGTATGTATCCCCTATATACAACTCAAAGGTTTACCTTTGGTTCGGCTAGGATACTCGACCGCTAAGTTACAAAAGACTCTCACAGGATTCCTTAAGCGCTCTCGGGGTTGCTTCAAAATAGGGCTTAGGGTTTAGGCTCTGGGGTTGAACACTGCAGAGGCACGCAGAAGTGGAATACTCACTCTATAGTGCAATGTGAACCGAAACGCCTTTCATAGTTATCGGTTATTTCAGGTTCTACAGCCCCCAAACCATAAAAGCCTATGATTATAAGCAACTTGCAAGCCTCAATCGTAAGTCTGAGCCTTAGAACAGGATGGACAAGAAGGCATGTCCGCTGCATGCCCCAACCTTGTCGCCTTCTTGTGGAAGCTGTGCTTGAGGTTCAAGGTAGCTGCCATCCTAAACCGGACGCTCTAAGCTGGGAGGGCTTAGAATTTAAGCTTAGAGGTTCCGGGTTCATGTCAGCCCCAAACCCTTAAACCGAAACCCTCTAACCGACAATCTCCTGGCTGTCCTAGCCTTAGGGATGCTCAGACAGATGGGCAGACGCAAAAAGGAGCTTTAAAAAAAACTCTTAACCCGAAACCTTCTAGCTGTTACTAACAACCCAAACCCAAAACCCCAAACCCTAAACCCCTAAACCTTAAACCCCAAACCCGAAACCCTTTCTAACTGACCGGTCCCGGGTTCTTGCCCGCCTCGGCGAGGTGGTCTTGAAGCTGACGTCGAGAGGGAGCAGCTCCCCGGCTGCAACCTCGCGGACCGATGCTTTCACGATACCTCTTCCACTGCTACTGCGACTGCTACTACTACTCCTAAAAATTATGGTAATAATAGTAATGGTATTGCTGCTGCTACTGCTACTACTACTCCTGCTGCTGCTACTACTACTACTACTACTACTACTACTACTACTACTACTACTACTACTACTACTACTACTACTACTACTACTACTCTGTAAAAAGGGGCTCAAAAAAACCTAGATTTGGTTGCTGGTAGCCATCCCTGCCATCCCAGGTTTAAGCAACGCCGATTTGGAGGGTTTGCAGCTCCTCCGTGCGGCTAGCGCGGAGCTGAGCGATGGAGCGGAGGCCTGCGGCTTTGGGCTTGGGGTTTGGAATGGGTTTTCGCTTTTGGGGGTATCTTAAACTTCGAGGTTATATAGGTTTTGGGAAGGCTCACGGGGCGTACTAAGGGGGCTTTTCAAAATTTCGGGAGTTTCCAATCTGGAGCCCGAAACGCTGCCATAATGGAGACTCTGGGGTCATTAGCTTGAGGGTTGGGGCTTTAGAGTTCAGGGTGCAGGGGGTTAAGCGGGTTTAGGGTGCAGAGGTTTAGGGCTTTAGGGCTCATGAAACCCTAGCCCCGGTGAGCCTAAACAAAACCTGCAACCACAAACCTTTTAGGGTTTAGTTTAGGGCTTTGAGCCCGAAGCTCAAACTGACAAGCCATCAGCCCAGAACATAAACACCTTCTGCATGAAGCCCAGAGCCCGTTTTGTCTGAGAAACCGGCACTTTGAAGCCTTCCCGTGTGTTTAGGGCTCTAGAGCGCGGAAGCAACTATTCCATACGGTTTCTATGACGAAGACTAGTTCGCCAGAAGGGTTCCACGTGAGATGAGGGTTCTTCACTAGACGCGTTTCATCTCGAGAACGTGAAAAACGGCTCCCAAACCGAAACCGAAAAATGGCACCGCAGTTTCGCATCATACCCAAACATCGCGTCCGTAAATCGCTGCAGACACCCTCTAGTAGCTCTTGTAGACATCAATATACGTAAATCACCATGCTTCACAGAAACTCAAGCGTGAGTGCTTCGGCCTTGAAAGCCACGAGGACTTTATCTGGATTTCCGGAGCGCGGTACTTTACAAGAAGGGGTTTAGGGTTTCCAGAATCCAAGGCAAACACAAGACAGCTCAGCCCATATCTTAGTTCCCCAATACCCAACCTTCAAACTTTTTGGGTTCAGTAGTGACCAGAAAGTTTAACCTTCTATTTCTGTGGCTTATGGGGGAAGTAAGATATACGACAAGATTGCTTTCCTTCTAAGAGTGGCCAGGCGCCGGAAAAGGCGCCGGGAGTACAGCTCCTTTGGCCGGAGGTCGCGCAGCTTTGGCTGGGCTGCTGGCGGCTCGCCCGAACGTTTTGGGGGATGGGAGTTGAACTCTGGTTCATGGGTACCTGTAAGGATGCAACTTGGGACTATAAGCAGTGGTAATTATACTCACTGTGCTCCCAGCCGAAGATCCGAACTACCATGTACCTTGATAGGTCAGCCTTACACCCAACCGAATTCCGGTGTTGCGGCAGAAGGACTCGACGGCTTCTGGGCCACCAAGCAACCGTAGGCCCTAGGAAGGTGTAAAGTTCTGAAGCCTGAATCTGAGCCATCGCAAAGACAGCTGAATCTGCGAATTATGGTTGCCCTGCTTGCCCCACCTGCCTCGCTTGCCCCTCCGAGAAAAATAGCTTGTGTTGCACCGCTTGTAAATGAAGGTGTTATGCAAAGAAAACGACGAAGCACCAGTTTCTTTGTATCACAGCACGTCTACACATTAGGTGAACTTCATGTCAGCTTGCACAGCTTAGAAATCTATCGAATGCCTTCGTCTCTAGAAATTGAATGAAAGTTTGGACGCACGGTTTTGAACGGAGCCCCCGCACCCTAACACCTACACGCGGGCTCGTGAGGGTCGATTTTGTTGTTGGAGGAGGTCGGGCTTCCCGAAGCGGACAAGCCTCGATACCCAAGCCTTTGTGTATAGCTCCTTCTTGCTTCATGCCTTGGCTGTTCTAGCTGTTTTAATGGAGCATGGTGTGACCTTACCTCGCCCTCCCTTAGGAGCTTATCCTAGGTAGGCCGTTGGGGCATTTTACATTTTCCCTTGTTGGGCTTAATAGGACCCTATTTACCAACCTAGTATCTGCCTTCCTGAGACGTGCGAAGCCCAAGGCTGCCAGGGATGCCGAAGTACTTGTCGCCAAGCGTCAGCACCTATCTGCACTGTGCCAAGGGGCTTCTGTTCCTTGGACGTGAAGACGTTGGGACACTAGAAGAGGTTGTATTGCTTCGGGGTTGTGGGTAGTGCAGGTGGTGTACGTAGGGGGGGGTAGTCAGCAATTCAGGGTGCAGGGCTCAGTGCATTGCAGTCCCTGCTCAAAAAGGGGTTAGTCTTCATAACCGGACCCATGTACCCCAGATCAATGGCTCCTCTTCGAAATTACAGAATCCTGCATGTGCATTATTTTACGTAGTTTCCTTCCCCTGGCATGCTTTGTCACTCACAACATATCAGGGTTCCTTGGGATGCAGTATAACAGTCGAGCATGTAATGAGAATGGAAATCATATTCATACTGATAATGGCATAATATTCATCATCATCATCATCATCATCACCATCATCGTCAACTAGTCATATAATCATAGAACATTAGTCGTTGTCAGAGTAGCAATAGCAGTATGGAAGTTCAGGGCTTCAAGTGTACCGAGTTCGATTGGCTGTCCCAGCTGGCTGATCTCGAGGAGTTACGGGGCTCTTCAGGGTTTAGGGTTTAGGCCCAAAAAAGTTTCGTTTGACCAGTTTTCTCTGAACTCTTAGCCTACCGGACCCAAAGCCTAAACCCTAGCTATCACCGAGATCTCGCATGACGTGGGGAGCTGGACAGGACAACGGCACTGCGGCTCGTCAACATGGGGTCTTGAAAACTAGAATAGGCTTCCTTAAATGGGTTTCGTGTGCAGGGCTCCAAAAATGGGTTTATAGGGCTTTCAGGTGTCATTATCTGGGTTTTGCATAAGGTTGTTCTTTTAGGGTTCCTTAAAGGGATGGTTTCATAAGGGTTTCAAAAGGCGTCTGACAGGGGTGCGAGAACAGTTTTATGGGGCCAAACACGACATAGCCCAATGAAGCAGCTGTATTGTGCTTCGTGTTTGAAGCTTCAGATGAAGCTAAAGCCTAAACCCTAGCACCCTGAACCCGCCAGTCTTCGATGCTTTCCAAGGCTATGCCCACCACCTCCGTCAGCACCGCTCAGGGTGCTGCCGTGGACGAGGAGGTGACGCTGAAACTCCGCCATCTGCTGGAGAGTTCGGTCTTGAAATAGCGCACATGTTAAGTCACGAAGCCTCCAAGTCGAAATCCTACGACCGAATAGAATCACCAGAAAGCCTAGGTCCCGAAACTCAAAACAGCCCTTATCAGTCCCACGGAAAGGGCCACCAACATGGTGTGGGGCTCAAGGGCTTAAGGTTGAAGCCGCTTTGCGCCCCGAGTATATACCGATGGCTTCAAATGAAAGCATGCTCCTTGCGACCTTGACAGTCGTAAGACGGTTCGGGTCAAGGTTCAGTGTTCAGGGCCTAGGGTTTAGGGTTTAGGGCTTAGGTTTGATTTAGGGCATAGGGTTGGCCTCCAGGACGAAGCATCCTTTTTCTACGCCTATGGGCCCAAATTACCGCTGCACTGGACTGTTGGGTCTTTAGTTTGAGCCGTACAAAGAGCGAAGTCAGTCCATTTCCGACTCTTCAACGACCCAAACTTCAAAGAAGACCGAATAATTAGTATTTCAATTCCGCAGAGTTCCCTGTTTTCACTAGGCTGCAGTGGACCCCAAATCACACTCTTGTAGTTATTAAGGGCACTATACTATGCCCTATATATTAGACCCCAATTCAGCAATGCAGGAGGCATACAAAGCCGTACAGCCGTTAAATCAAAACCGTCCGACAGGAGCAGCAAAAGCCCGGCAAGGTGGCGGCTGAGCTGCTGCAGGCACTGAAGCGATGTCCTCGGATTTATGGGTTTGGGCTCAGGGTTTAGGGTTTAGCAAAGAGGGTGTGGTTTAGAGTTTACAGGATTAGGGTTTAGGATCTATGAGCTGGCACTAAGAGCCCAGCTGCAAAAGGATCTGTGATGTTGGTGTTCCTGAAAATTGGGGGTACCTTTCTTGCACAGACCCTTTGATGTGAAGGGTCCAGAAGAATAGGGATCAACATGGGCTTCGTTTTTCGACGTTCTCGAACCTTTCCCAATAAGTTATCATTGAAGGGGGTCGCTGCAATAATGATAGTAACAGTTATTATGATGATACGGGTTTCAGGTCCCTGTATTGAGCACTCCTGATATAGACCAACCTAAACCCGAAAAATCCTAAACCCAAAGACCCTACACTCCAAACTACAAGACCCACCGGTCGGTCAAGTAGACCCCGAGACTCGATCCAGGATCCCATAGTTCGGTTGCTTCGGGCTTAGGCACGATGTAGGGTCTAGGAGTGGGCTTCATAAACCCTAAACCCTAAAGTCTTGCTGCGTCGGACCATGCTTCAAGCAATCGGTATGACTATGACTGGTTTGGACATGCCAAGTTCGAGCCACAAAGAACCTTCTCAACCGGAGGCTCCGACTGCATCAGAGTGAAAGGGCCGAAGCAGGCCAGGAAGTTGGCAGATGAGCTCAATTCGCTGCGGAATTCCAACAGACTGGATGCATGTGGACAAAATTCAGGGCCAGGACAAATGGCCGTGATTCCTTTGCCACCTTTGTGGCTGCAGAGTCCACCCACGTTTGTTTTCGCACAATGTGCTAACAACTTTGCGGTGCCTGGTGCGGCAGGTTGAACTAAATCTCAGAATTAGGGTTTAGGATACCTGTACTATGGTATACAGCCATGCTACAGTATACTAGCAGGACCCTTATTCAAGCTTTTACAGCCAGACTCCCGTATGGTCCGTATGAAGCTATACTACAATTTCATTACTAACACAACCCCGACGCAAGTCCCCATGTTACCCTACAAGTATGGGGCTATACTGTAATAGCCATACCCCGGTATAGCTTATGAGGCTATAATTACTACAACCTCTGCTACCGAGGCTCATTGGGCCGGACAAAGGCGCCTTGGCCAGTGCTCAGCTGCTTGCTCTACGCCTGACCGCCGAGGGCAAGGCTCGCGCCAACCTTGAGCTGCCAGGTTTCAGTTGTATGTTGTAGGGCATCGTAAGGTAAGATCTTGAAATATAGGTATATTTCGCTTTATGAAGGATTTTTGGGGGGGTTTAGGATGTGGCATGTAGGCTTTAGGTTGCAGGTCTTTTGGTGTTTGTTGGCGGGCTCCCGGGTTTGAGCAGACAGGATTTGTGTGAGGGTCTGGCATTCTGGAGTTTGGGGTCTCGGGGTTTAGTAGTTCAGGGTTTATCCAAACTCTCAGTGAGGTGGTGAGCAGAGAGGCTTGGTGAGCAGAGAGGCTTCAGGTGTTTCAGCTTTCGGCCCTCGAACCGAAACTTCTTGCTTCGACAAAAGCTCATGGTTGAGGGTTTAAGGACAACGAGGCCTGCTGCAAAAAAAGGTTTAGAAGGCAGTGCAGTGCTTGAAATTGACATCGAAAACTGAAAACTGTACGATTTTCGAGCTGTTCCAGACCCGCAAGATAGAGTTCTTCATCGACCAGATTCTGTGGTTGTTTGCAAAAAATCGTCACTGCTGCTAAAGGAGGGAACCCTTCGTTCCAAAGCCCAATAAGCTTCTGATCCTACTGTTGGCGGCCCAAACTTGGGTCCCTCAGCTTCTGAAATTCGCAGATAGAGACACTTGAGAGTTTAGGGGGCAATGAGAGTCAACAAGCGTGACTTACTAGAAGAAACTAGCAGGAGCCGGCATAGCTGTTCTAGCATCGTCTGCCATCCCCCAAAAGCGAGATGACAATAGCAAGAACGGCAATGCATGATGACAGCTCTAATCTAAATACGGCCATTGATTAACATAGGTGGTTCACATTCACCAATAAGTTTTAACTCGAGAGTGAAGACAGACATCACTCCTGCTCAGTCCCCCTGCAGGTGGGTCTAAGCCCAGCGAATGTGATTGCTCTGAACCTGTTCCTCTCAGATACCAGCTTCCACAGCAACTTGTTGCCGGTTTAGGGGTTTAGGATTTAGGATTTCCAGTTCGCCCCCGGAACCCTAAACACTGACAAACCCCGTGGAAAAGAGCTCTCCAAACTAAACCTCACAAGATGCAAGATGCAAACGCCACTGTTTTCACAAGCTTGGAAGACTCGTGCCTTGGTGTCCAGGCTTCAGGGTTTGGGGTTCTGGGGCTATTGGGGCTTTGGGAACCTTTTGTTGTTCAATGTTGTTCAGGCTTTTTGGTACTTGCAGGTTCAGGGGACTTAGTAAATAAGTAGGGTTGTAAGTAAGGTATCTATAGTTCTGTCGACTTATAACCGCAATTAATGTGCCCATATAGTCCCACAATGTCCCACATACCTAGTCCCCTAGGGTAATCCTCCAAGTAGAAGCCATGGCAACTTCCAGGTCGGCGCAGAGCTGCCAAGTCACAAGAGAATCCCTTGGTCCTACCCGTATGTGTTTTTTTTAGGGGGTTCACCAACAAAAAGTGTACGCCAACTAGGGAAGAACCTAGCATTCTGTCAAAGATTGCGGCACATCCTCTTCACGGAGTTGAGGTGAGGTCAACACGGCCATGGTGTCGCAGTTCTCGCAGCAGCCTCTACCAGCGGTGCGCGAGCGTGCTGCCGATATTTATGCGGCCCACGCAACCCGCCTCATTTTTTGGAACTCGGGTGTGTTCAGGTCGTAGGTGTGGGTTGGATCGGATGGTGAGCAGTGCGAGAAAGAGGGTCCCATTTCCAACCATGAAGTTTCAGGGTTTTGACTCCGTCAATTCTCGGCTGAACCTTCAGCCCTAAACCTTAAATCCAAGACCCTTGCACTTTAGTCTTCATGGGCTCTCAAGGGGCCCGCCCTTGTTTGGCCTCTGGGCCCAGTATGCAGGGTACGAGGTATGCTTCGGGGATACCTACGCCAGAGATAGGTTTTTGCGCTATTCCAGAGGCTTGGTGCCTTGAAGTTATACCCCGAACTCCCTTCCCAACTCTCCTCCGACATGGGCTCAGTTTCCACAGGAGACCTCTGCAAGTCGCTCAACTGTGAGTGCTGAACCCAATAGAAAAGACACAGCCAGCGGAGGCCCAGCTTTCTGCTGCCATCCAAGCGCTACCTGCACGGAAGGCGCGTTCGAAGGGTTCCGGTTTGTTGCAAGCACTCCGAACATTTTTAATGGGGTTATAAAGTCTAGGGTTAAAACTGTTAATTAGGCAGGCGCATATGTCGAGGAGGCTAAGAATGAACTCCAGGCAGGTCTCATTCAAGGCTGTTGGGGGGTCAGCCCCCTTTTCAGCAACAGTCCTGATCTACTTTCAACAGTCCTTGTAAGGGGATTTACCAAATCCAAACCCGCAACTTGAAGAATACCTTTGACACACCCTGCAACCCTTGTAAACCTGTAGAAAATGCGAAACGACTCGAAATGTAGATGATTTGACTATATAGGGTAGAGGAAGGTCTCGTCAGACCCGTAATCAGTTGAGGTCCTAGTGGTAGGACTCTTGTTGGAAGGACTGCAAAACACAGATGCATAGGCAATTGTCGGAAACCTCGACTGATAGGTCGTTTGCTTCCGATCCATCCGCTTCGCGGGCGGGATGCGCGACTTCCTGCGTGGCCACAGACTCGGCATGGATTGTGACCCGGCAACGCTAGCAGTTCCAAGAATGATCGTGTCTGATGGCTTTTGAGCGTGTAGCCTTCAGTCGTAGAACCCTACGTGACCCTGCACCCCAGACTTGTAACCCCGAACCGCCAAGTGCCGGCTACACACATCTACACGGCTCTGGACAATAAGCCTCTGCTTCACATCCCTAAAACCTACGTGCCGTTCCGAATATGATTGAGGTTCCAGGGTCGGTTTAGCATGTAGAGTTCAATTCAGGCACGGAGTAATTCCAGTTCATTTTTATGATCTAGTGCAGGGTCTCTGGTGGAAAATTTTGGGTTCCGGCTGCAAGAAGGGTTTAAGATTTTGCAAAGGGCCCTGCAACTGTATGCCACTCTCCTAAGGGCCCAAGATGGGACCTTAAGTTCGAGAACCCGGGTGGATGGTGCAGGGCTGAAAGTGTAGCATCAGCTTTCGCGCAAGCCGCAGTCGTGATCTGAGGCTATCGGCCGGGTAGCATCGTGATGTGGAGGCAGCGGGTTTTGCACGACGATTCGAAACGCCCCCAACTGAAACCTCTACGACCGTAACCCTAAACTCCGGTCACTGCTAGGTAGGACGGAAAAACTCAAAAGATCCCCCACACCCAAGACGAGCACCTTTACACCGCTGACGGCTTCCATGATGTCGGGACATGTGGCATAGCAACTATAAGGGTCTGAAGGCATGGGTTGGTTGTCGTAGCTTCCGACATGGTTTTTTGTAAGCTCCACTTAACGGTGTTCTTTAAGATACTTATCTTGCCCAGAGTACTTCGAGAAAGGCAGCTGCCCAAAACCCCAAAACCCAGGATCCCCGGACCGATATGATCTTGGCCAGAAGGAGGTTTTGTTGCAAAGAGCCCTGACCTTCCTCGCGAACGTCAAGCGAGGTTATGGCTGGGCTTGGGGTTTAGGTGTTTAGGGTTTAGGGTGTTAAGTTTCGTAGGCGCTGGCCGGCTCCTCAGTCCGTGCTGAAAAGGGTGGTAAGTTTTGGGTTTAGGGGCAAACAGGGTGTTAAGTTTTTAACCCTTTCTGAACATTGCTTGGGGCATATGGGGACCTGGCGCAACCCGACATAATCATAGCAGGCCTGATGATGTTGTAAGCCCGAAGTATGGGGACTGAACATTAGCGCCCCTAAGCCCCAACCAAGTGTTAAGTAGTACATAAATATCCCCCGAATTCGTTGCAAGTTGCAGTATGGCTCCTCTGTCACCCTAAACACCCTGTAACCCCAATACCCCTCAACTCTAAGCCCATGATGCCTCTACATTAAGCTCGTGCTAACTGGGCTCGCCGTAAACATACGTTTCCTTGTGTTTGTTAGCATTAAACGTATGGTTTGCGTAGTGGATCTAAGGGGCTTATGGTTGAAAACGGGAGTCGGGTATAGGGGCATCTAGACTCTGGGGTTCAACAGGGTGCAAACTGCAAGAGAGTCTAGTGCTTAGGGCCTAGTGTTCTGGTTCATCAGCGTGCAGAGCTTTGCAGATATGGGTTCAACTTTAAAGTACTTTCATATGTTCCTGTACGTTAGACATTGTAACAGCATGCATTTGCAACCCCCTTTCCTTCAAAATGTAACGACCGCCAAAAATAGAACTAAAGCGATCAGTAAGAAGAAGGAGAAGAAGCATGGCATATCAAAAGGAAAATTCGGAATCAGCAGCAGCAGCAACAACCACGAGCAGAATAATATTCGGCATCGCAAGAGCAAGAAGACTATCAAATGTAACAAGAGCAACAAGCACGGAATAACTACATGGATCTGACGATAGAGGACAGACACACACACACACACACACACACTCTGTCTTTCTTTCTCTTTTTCGCACGCCCTCGTGAAACAAAGTCCATGTCAAAAACGGCCTTGAAACGCCGGAAGCAGACTCCTCCTTGCAGGCACGCCGCCTCCTGCACACAGGACTGCGGAGTTTAGGGTTCAGGATGTCGGCATTGGGGGCAAACGTGGCGGACTTCAGAGCACAAATCCGAAGGTTCTACTATTGAAAGTGGCAGGTTACAAGCCTTATGCAAAATTCTCAGGCGACAGCTGCTGTTTGCATTTACGATTGACCTCGGGGTCTCTTCTACTCAACCGGCCTCAACTGAAGGGACCACCGTTGTTAGGCAAAACGGCGTAAAACAAAGCGTAAGCAGTTCAGAGCGGCAAAGCAAGGGGTTCAATACAGATCTCATCCGCTTCCTCCCATGGACCTTAATATATATGGGCTCGGGTAGGATTTGCGGCTCGAGGAGGGTTTACAAGAGCCGAAACGTCTCGGCCCCAATTCCAAAATCCATTGCCCCAGAACTCTACACAGGCTGACTGCAGGAATTCCACAGAGCTTCTTAGCAGGATCCAGCGCTGGCGGAAGAGCTCGCACTCCATGGCGAGCCCGCATCTGCCTCCGGAGTGGTCTTCAAGATACGCACCTTGCAATGATAGGTTTTAGGGGCTGGGGTTTGGATGGGTTTGGGTTGTTGGTGTATTCCGCTTTCGAGGCTGAGAGTTGAAGCTCTGCGGGTCCATAAGGGCATGTTATTACTTTTGAGGTGTACTCTCGAATTCTCGTTTGTTCATTCGTTCAGGGACTTTAACGAGAGAGACGTCACTGTACCAGAAACTACTATAATGATTTATCAGAACCCTGAATCAAATCAGGCCGTGCAGCAAGCGCGCGGCCAGTCGCAGAGTTCTCTGCCACCCCGGAGCATCAGGAGGCCACTATGCGAATTTAGGACTCTTAGGGCCCAGATGTACTGCTTTAGCATTTTAGGGTTTTGGAGTTGAGATCTAGATCTGATTCTTTCAGGTTTAGAGCTTGGGTTTCAGGATTTCTGTCTCGGTTTTTGTGGTGTCTGGCTTTCGGCTTAATGGTTTACACCACCATTGTCCAGGAAGTCTAGGGTCCCCAACCAGAAACTTGCAACATGTAGCAGTCGCGACTTCTGACCTGGGAGACCTACTGGGAATCAAGCATGTTTTGTTCGACCGTGCCATCTTTATGGCCATCAAGAAGAGAATTCCAGATTTGCAGTGGCGAGCACGGAGTTCCCAGAAATCGGCAAAAGACACCGGAGTTGTGGCACTGTTTTTTGGCTCACACAAAAGGTTCGCCTCAGCCCGGCCATAAAAAAGTTCAAGCCTTGGTTCCCTCCGATCTCTGATACTTTTCTCACAACGGGGCCGCTTAAAGTATGCTGCAATCTTGAGTCTTGGCAGCTGGGAAAGCTGCTTTCCTTGTTGACAGCCCACTAGTGATGTGATGGTGCTGGTAATATAGTGGGCTTGCAGACTTACCACTAACATCCCTTAAGATCTTCTTAAAAAGAGTCGTACGATAAGACATATGTACCCAGAAACCTCTTCTAATTCCCAAGGTCCCGACAATACACGCAGCAATGGCTACTTAAACCTGAGCAGCTTAAATTTAGCGATTCGTGGCCGGGGCCCGAATGCAAAGCCAGTTCTTGTGGGGGTTTTGGGGTTTGGCGATTAGGATGCTTCCCTACTGTACCATGTAGTCCATCGGTGTGCATCTTTAGTGCTGTGCCTAGGTTTGACTTGTGTTCTAGCTGTTCCAGTGCTATATTTGAAGACAGCACTGCCGGTGCCGTTACTTCTGTCGCTGGGGGCGTTTACGACTAATCTTTCTATAGCCAGCAAACCTTCCACGCATTATTGCTTGAGCCTGGATTCCTCTGGACTGGTGATGGGGAAAGGTTGCACCAGACAGGCTCACAGCTTCAAGTATTTTTTTCAGATAGGGGTTTCCATCTTCAAGAGCTTGAAAATAAGTCCCAGGAACAGAAATCAGAAAACTTCGAGAGGCGTGAAAGTGCCCGAGGATCTGAAAACGAGGAGTTAGCAAGATTTCATGTCTGCGAGCAGGCTGACTTCCAAACCCCAAGACTGGCCCAAGACCTCAAAGCCTAAAGCTGAGAGCCTAAGCATCGCATTGCAGGTGCTGTTTGCACCCGGCACCATTTTCCGAGTGGTGGGTTTCTACCCATGCAACCAGCAAAGTTTGAGGCACCGGGGAGTCTGCGGTTCAGCGCGGAAACGGTTCGGTTAGGGTTGAACAGGTCTTTGGGTTTCGGGTTGTTTTTCTATGCTGGGCTGTGGGCCTTTTGACGCGTACTTATTTTAGTCCGGTTTAACATTGAAGTCTCGATTCGAGACGGTCCGAGTCCCATCCCGGGCCCAATACTCCGAAAGTGACATTTCGAAGCTTGAAACCTGAATGTCGACCCTGGTGTAAAATCTCCTTCCATCCAGAAGGATTGTAGTAGAGATCTTCTTGGGTAGGGCCACATATGATTAGACTCTAACCTCCATGGATGTGATGTGACTGTTATGTGTTTCGCGGTGCGCCGCTGCACTCAATACGCAACCGCAAATGCGAAATATGATAAACAAAAGCACAAAATCACGTCGTGGAACCCCTGAACAAAAGCTGTGAGCCCGTCAGTCAGACAAGACCCGGCCTGCTCGGTGCGAGTGCATCAGGCTAAACTGCGTGGTAGCTGGAACCCTTCAGCCCTAAACCCGCGGTTCTAAGCTCTATGTCCTGAACGCCCCCTTCCAAGAAAAGAAAGATCCAGCACCCTTGAAGCCGTAAAGTGTGTTCAGGGTGATGTTGTCGGCACGGTTTGGGGTGTGGAAGTTCCTGGGTTTTTGTTCAGCGTGTTCAAGGCTTAGAGCTAGGCCTTCAGGCTATTCGATGTTCCTGAACTTACTGCCAAGGGCGCACTCTTTTGCAGCCGCTGGTGAGACAGCTCTTGAATCGGAAGTTGCATGCTTGTCGCAACGAGGCTGCTGCAGGGGGTCGTTTAGACGTCCTTACCACAGCGGTTCGATGGCGGCTGTTCTCCGTTTAGTGCCAGGGATCTCGCCAGTCAGGCACTTCGCAGCAGCATGCTCGCCTCTGCTTCTTGAGCGCCACTTCCCGGATCAGCTTGCCATGGAGAGGACGGCGCCTCCTCAACATTATCTGGGACAGCTGGCGGATCTTGTGTCCGAAGCACAGACTGCACGCACACAATCGTGCCCGGATACCGCTGTTAGAAGTCGGCCGCCCAGGAGGGCAAATCAGTGGGGTGAACTGCCATGCCGTGGCTGTGGAGAGCATCTACCGCCACACCGATTTTCGTTCCAGAGAAGCTTGTGCAAAATGTGCTATGCATCAAACGCTCGCGCTTATTATCGGACCTTGCGAGGAAACATGGTCCTTCTTGTGAACTCAGCACGGACGAGATCAAGAAGGAAGGGTTGGTCATGCAGCCTACAGATGGAACATGTGCTGCAAATGCTACTGCAGCAGGAAGGCCGATGCGCCTATTCTGGAGTGCCAATGGAGATTCTTTTCCCCAACTCAAACTGGCGCATGTCCTTGGAACGACTGGACAACTCCAGAGCATACTGCCAACGGAACTGTGTTCTGGTGGCCGCTGAGTTCAACTCTCCAGATCACACCAGAAGGCCTGGTGTGCACCAGGAACACGTGCGGGGATCGTCACAGTGGTCTGCTGAAAAAGTTGGGTCTATACGTGACGCATGTAGCTCAGTCGTGCATCTGGAGGTGCTCAAGGAGAATGTTGCAGTGGCTCGACACAGAAGCGATGGGTCAAGTCTTTTCCCGTACAACAGGACGTTGCGAGGAAAGTCGAAACTGTTGGCAGCCAGTGCGCAAACGCGATCGAGAAGGAGGGGGGAAGAGTGCGAAATCAACTACACTGACATTCTACAGATGCTCTTGGAGCAGCAGGGCCGATGCTTCTATTCTGGAATACCGTTGCAGTGGTACCCACACACCGACTGGATGATGTCGTTGGAGCGCTTGGACAACAATTTGGGATACGTTGAAGGGAACTGCGTCTTAATCGCGAACGAGTTCAACACTACAGACCACAGTCGGCATGCAGTGGGAGAAGTCCGTGGGTCGTCGCAGTGGTCACTGGCGAAGGTACTGCACGTTTGGGGCAGAGCTGGCTTTCTTTGACGTCAAACTTCTGCCAGAAACAACTGCTGCATGACATGCCCGTCATGTTTGAGGCGAAGGTGGCATTACTACAACTGGAAACATGTTATCTGGCAAAATGTTTTGCACTTCTGCCTGGCTGGAGATTATAGTCGTGGCGTGAGTTACGTGTCCTAAAAGGTATTCTGAGGCATGATGAGAAGCCTCCAGTAAACATCTCCACACATGGTTTCGGTTCAGTGCGGTGTATGACACCTTGACGCCTGGTTTGTTGATGTTGTGTAGATGGGACGAGTTTTTCTTGGCACTTTGTACCCTGCACTGTGCTAGGCCAAGCTCGACACCCAATCACTTGGGTGATTTGTTGATGCTTTTTGTCCAAAAAAGCTGTATCCGGATTCCAAGAAACATCAAGAAACCCCTAGGCTGGCAACATGAAGACGAGGATGATGGTGATGATGATTGTGACGGTATTTGTGAGGCTGCGCCTTACAAAGGCAAACTAATAGAACATTTGTAAATGTGCGGCTTCCAACGCATCTCATCTCAAGAGCACAAATGCTGGAACCCTTGACGGTGCCTGGAGTACAGTTGCTCGACCCCAGGATCCATGGTCTATTCGGTCGCAAGCTTGTGACCCTGCTCTTAATTGCTACTGGGGGTGTGGGCAATGTGCCATGGACTTCTGCACTTCTGCACCCTGCCATCTCCGACGGTTTGCATTGGGCGTGTTTTTCTTCTCGCACATGCCAATACCTAGACACCTTCAACTTGTCGGCAGGCGCCCACTCAATCCCGAGATTGTATTCTCTCCGGCCTTCAGCGGCACAAGCTAAAAGCACAGAGACAAGGTATTCTTTGAGGTTGGATGTTGGGTTTCGGGGATTTGGGGGTTGTGGTTTGGGGTTGAGCGCTGCTGCGTGCGGATTCCAATCGAACCTAAATTTTTCCCAAGTTAAAAGTTAAAACCGAAGTTAGCTTCGAAAGGCTCGTATGCAGTAAAGCCCGCAAACAACATCTCCCAAACGAAGAAAAGCCAACGCGGACAAATACATGAAGGTCTGTTGCGTCGTATTACACTAAATATAAGCACAGACACACACACACACACACACGCAGAGACACCACCCAGATAATACACTGCTCTGTGTGCGGCTTCTATGTACCCATGCATGCAGATGAACCGGTACATAATCAAAATGTATACGTACCACACGTGCTTCTCTCTCTCGTAACGACTAACCCCGTGCACAACATCTCAGTGTCACCTCCACACCTCGACCGAACCCTTACAAAACCCTTACTTATAGAACGTAATAAGATCTTTATAGAACCCGTTCTAGAAACCCTCATAGAACGCTTTGTTATGGCAGGAAGGGCACGGCCTCGGACGCTGGCGCCTGGTCCGCGGAGCTCGGCTCGGCGGCCGCCTGCGCCGCGCAGCGCAGCGAAGCCTTGGCATGGGAGGAGGCGGGCGGCTTCGGGGGCTCCTCTAAGGGTAAACTTAAGGAAGGATTCCATGATAGGGCTTCTGTAAGGGATCCATAATGGGGTTCCTGTCAGGGCTCCATGATAGGGTTCCTTTAGGGGTTCCATGATAGAGTTCCTTTAGGGCTTCCAGGATAGGGTTCCTTAATTACAGGGCGGGGTTTCCTCCACAAGGGTTCCCGATCAAATGCTAGGCGAGGAGCATAAGGAGTTCAGGGCTGAGAGTTCAATAAGATAGGGTTCTGTTTTCATTTGCAGTAAATGGTACCTGCGAGACCTGAGCCCTAAATCATGACTGTAATTACACCCTGGACCCTGAAGGATCGCCCAGAGCTTAGTTTCCAAGAGTTCATTCGAACTTTGGGAAGCGGGTTAGGGTTTTGAGGTCCAAAGACCTAACCGCAGATGCCTAGGGCACTAATTCGTAAGTTGCACGTGTTCCAGTTTTCTTTTGCTCCTCAGGTATGTAGGCATGCTGTTGTAACTCTCGATTTGAAAGCACACGGGCTTAGGCTTGCGTTTTCGAAACTCAACCCGGATATCAGACGCCTGTCGAAAACGTCTGCACTTATCAGTGGGCTGCAGCTCTGAGGCACCAAGATGCCACGTACTCACAACCTAGTAAAAGGATCTCTCCCTCTCAGGAGTTTTTCGTCGCTGGCCTTTCTTGGCTGCTGGATTGCCCAGCCTTCCCTAGTGTCGGCAGTCTTCTGACATGAGGCAGTAAGCCCTATAAACCCCAAACCGTAGCCGGTAGGTCGCCAGAAACATAGACCATTAGATCCGAAGCTGCAAAACCCACGGAACCACATGAACCCTGGTAGCTTACATGTGGTCCTTAACAATGAGAACAGGGCCGCCTTTGGGCATTTGTTCTGTGTCTGTCTCGGGACGGCATGAAGATATTACCGCACATTACAATTACACAGATCCCCCAAGTCTGAAAGGCCGCTTGCTGGTGCACCCCGAAAACTTGAGACAGCACAGCCTGCGCAAGCAAACACCCCAAACCAAGACCCCTAAACCCTAAACCCTTGCGACGTAGTCAGCTGGGTGGCAAAAAAAGTAAAGCCAAGCCGGAAACACTGCAAGCGACCAGCCCACAGCAACACCAAGGGATCCTACCATACGAGGTCCCTTTTTAGACGGCCATGGTTCGACTGAACAGCTGCCATGGCAATGAGTTCAACCCACTCTTCCGGAGCGACATGGGCTCGGAGTCCGAGGCGAAATGAGCCGTTTGGGGCTTGTTTTCTGCTCCGGCTCTCTCGACGTAGGTTCGGGCTTGAGGAATTTAGGATAGACTGGACCGGGGGGGGGGGGGGGGGCGGTGCTGATGAACAAGATGACGTCGCCGACGAAAGATGATGACATGATCGAAAGATGCGATGGGGGCTGGGAGGGCTTTTATGATACTCATGGTAGCGATGATGATTTATGATCACTCTCATGTTGGCTCAGGGATTCGTATTTGCAGTGGGTTGGTAGTTGTAGGAGGAGGAGGAGGAGTGGGAGCAAGAGTGCCAGTGGGACTGGCGGGAAGAGGAGTAGGAAAACAGCTATGTTTCCCAGCTGTTCAGGACCACCTCTTGCATTATTTCCCATGTTGTCATTCCTAGCGCTGACTTTTTGCCATCGCGGTTATAGCACCCACACTCTCGGAATTGAACAGGGGCAACTTCTATCTGCATAACCCTTAATTGTTTTTTGGGTGACATACCGCCGTTGTCGAGTCCACGTTGGCTATGCTACCTCGTCGCTCCCCATACTTACCCTGAATATCAACACGGCCTTGACTATTCGGGCAGTTACGGCCATGCATCATTGCCGTCACAAGCGCCATCGGGTAGTCTCGGCCTTTGAGCGAAGTTTCACGCCAAGAAGATCTCAAACCTTGTCTTGCTTTAGCTTCACAGTGCTAGCCTCATCCTTGGCTAGGTATTGAAGGGACGCGGAGGCTCCTATTTTGTCAAAATGGTTTAGAGCTCGGCGTAGTGGGCATTCAGACCTGCACTTTCGCAGGTGGGTCTAAGCGTGTACACCATCTCCTGTTTAACGAAGGCCCGTGAGCCTGTACTATACGTTGAATCCTAATTCCTGCAGCCCCACAAACTGCCCAACCCTAACCCCAAAGCCCTCTAAACCCCAAACCTGCAACCTCAGGGCAGCGACGGGAGCGAGGATGACGGTGGAGAGGAAGGCGAGGATGAAGAGCCCGATCCCGCCTCTGAGCTGAACTGATACTGAGGGTACCTTGCTTCGCGCTCCAATTGTATTCGGGATTCTGCTGTGCAAGGCGTGCATCACGAAGTCTACTTTCTGGACCAATTGAAGAGACGACATTCTGTCTGCATGTTTAGGGTTTAAGTGTATAAGTACAGGGGATTTGGGTTCTGAGTGAGATGAAGAAGCCGGTGAAGCTGCGGTTAGCAGGACAGAAATGACATTGGCCAGACTCGTGGAAACAAATCCCGTCGTGAATAAGACATCGGTAAAGACGTGAGGCCTCTAAAAGTAGAGGTTTCAATAATTTGCATGCCCCGATATCTCTATATAGTTTCAGATAGTTTTACCATAATATGCACCCCAAACTGTAACCTTCCAGCCCGCCTGCTCCCTAAATGCTTACTTCAGACAACACGAGATGTCAAGGGAGCTCTGAACCGACGGTGTGTGAAGGCGCCCAAATACCTGGCAAAAACGTTAATATTCATTCTAGAGCCCCCCTAGTATGTTGACAGTACGCAACCATCAAAACCCTTGTCTCATTGATACTGCACGCGGTTATACATATTCATTTTCTTGTGTATATGCCAACACACATGCGTGTTTATATACATGTATACCTAGAGGGATAGTTTTTTGAAGATCCCAGGACGATCCGGAGCCTCTCGAAGACCTGGATGGAGCCTTCGCCGATGCGAGAGACTGCTGGAAGATCGATGCGGAGACTCTGAAAGGCTCGCTCCTCAGGGTTGAGGTCTTAAGGTTCAGGGTTTAGGTCTTCGAGCAAGCCCGCTGCAAAAAGGTCGTAGAGTGTCGGGTTCTGAGGATAGAAAAGGGGTTTAGAGTTTGGGGTTTAGGTCTTACAGATTTACGGTTTATGTTCCAGTGTTCGGGGTTTGGGGTTCAGGTTTAGGGTTCAGGGTTTAGGGTTTAATTGTCACCTTTCGGTAGAACTATGATCAAAGCGTTACTCAATCCGAAAATATGCTTTGTGCCACTTTGTACCCTTGACCTGTACAGCCTAAATTCAGATGCTCGCCGGGCCTGTCCCAGCTGCGAGTGCTGAAATCCTAAGCCCTAAACCTTGAGAGCGCCGCGAATTGCCTGCTTTCAGAGAGCATGTGCCAACCAAGCCCTACCTGAAGCTACCATAGCCTATTCTTGTAGGTTCGAATCGTAAAGCCCAATACGGAATGTATAGGGACCCTGCCCAAAAAGTGGGTTTTGGTAGTTCCAGGTAACCCTAACGCCCCAAAGTAGTTCCTTTCTGGGGTTCATATACAGAATCCTAGAAGCTAATCCCAAAAAGGAACTACTTCGGGGCCTATGGGTAACCTCTGCTTTCGGCAGCCCTAGGCTTCTACCTCCACAGCCCTACTGGCCAGCTTTTCAGCTGGGATCAGGCGCAACTTGGCCTCAGAGCTTGCGCTTCATGGTTGCATGAATAGGGATCACAGCAAGAGTGGTAGTAGTCGTTATTGTTGTTGTTGTGGTCATAGTAGTCACAATCGTCATAGTAGCGATGCTTTTCAGAGTTTAATGGCCCTTATATAGCCTGTGGGTTTCCCGATGTGGAAATTGAGGGTTTGAGAGTTGGCACACTCTTGATTGCACGTTCTAGACACGCCATTTTCTAGCTGAGTGGCGAGAGAGGCCAAGGAACGTTAGCCTTTTGGGTGCTGTTGCATAACCTCAAGTACGTCCCCAAGTGGTACCTCTATGCCGTAGATTGGGCGTTTCCGTCTTAGATGTGCGCAACACGACTAGGTCCCCAGTAGTACCTTATGCCCTGCAATTTTGGGCCTTACGTTGGCAAAATCGAAGCATAAGAACAAGGCCGCCTTTGCTATTAAGCCGTCACTGGAACCTCGCTCCAGCTATCAGGGAGGGCTTCATATTCAGCATACGGTGCTCGGTGTATACTGTCCCACGCAAAGCGAGAGTTCAGGGGTGAAGGATGGTTCAGTGTTTTGTGGCCACGAACGGGGCGCTTAGAACTCTCTGACCCTAATGATACTTGTTGGTGGCATGGATATCTTGTTATTTCTGACAGTGACTCAGCAGGTGAACCGATCCGTTGAGATGTTAACGTAATCTCGTTGTATCTAGAACTGTAGACCTTGCCAGACTTGTCCGAGTGCGAGTGTCAAAAAAACCCCAAGGCCTGTCTGTCGGCACATCCTGCAGTTTACAGACCTCGGCTGGTATTGCCGAGTGTGAGCGTCAAAAAAACTCCAAGGCAAGGCGTCCTCTACGAGTACCTCCGTGAATCGGGTGAGTGCAAACCCATCTGGGCAGCTGGTGCTCCACACATGAGTGCCGAAATTTGGACAGCTCCTTTGTAGCACTTTTGAACGGTTGTGGGTTTAGTGCTATATCTCATTGATTCAATGTATGCGTATGTAAATACAGTGCCCTAAACCCTATTCTCACATGGTTTAGGGTTGTATACATTAATGAGCATACACCCGAAGCCCCACCCCATAAAATGTCACAGCCGAGGTCCTCCCGCTACCGCCAACAGATCCTGCCAGTCTACAGCCGCTTAGCTGGGTGCTTTTTAGGAACGAGGGTTTAGGGTCAACGAATGATTTCGCAGCATAAACCAGGCGGGTTAGTGACAACTTCTTTTTTGGTGCGGTGTGGGTCCAAAGGGAGGTGCTTGTCGCATCTTGAAACAAGACCAAGGCTTGGATGAAATAAACCCGAACCTCTCGACCCGAAGCTCGAACCGCTAAGCTATAAGGGCTTGCTGACGTGGTCGGAAGATTTACTAGTGGTGTCGCCAATTAGTCACCATGTACTTCGGCTGTGCTGAACTAGACCAGATTGACCAGACGATAGTCCCGAATCCTGTTGAAACAACTAAGGCCTTTTGTCAGTGTTTGGACCCTATTGGCTTTGCTTTTGGCTTTTCCATCTTGACGTTTGGCAACCCAGGAATGCCGCCACGGAGCAGTCCAGCAGCGTGCTGTGTATCCTTCACCTGTGCCTTGGATGCGGCCTACAATGGGTTAAGGGTCGAAGTTTTGTTGCCTTCATTCACTCCCGATTCTAGAAAGGTTCTACAATATCATGGAGCACTACAAGCGCTGTTTGATACTATGAACCCTATGCAACCTGACAGCACGGGATTGTTTTGAAAAGGCCCTACAAATTCGAAAGAGTTTGTATACTATCAGTTCTCACAACCACCCTAAGCCCTAAATTCCTTCCCCTATAATACTTACACTCCCGAAGCCCTGCCTTCCGAGATGCATTCAAGGATGAAAAAGTAGACTTCCCAAACACCCTTCCAGATCATATGTAGTCTTATGCAGCCCAATGCAAAAAGCAATGCAAAGGGAAGCGTAATCAATAGGTGTATCCAGTGGTCGTCCTTATGTAGTAGACTGCACCATGCCGGAAAATGATTCCAATCCTCAAGGCGCCGTATGCGAAACCCTTATAGAAGCTCTATAAAGCAAACTTTCGGAGCAACCTCATTTCATGTCTTCAGGCGCCCAATACAAATCTAAACCATCTAAGCCCCAAGCCCTGCCCAAAACCAAACCCCAAACCCCGTACCTTACCTTCGGTAAGGTCCCGAGCCCGGGCGGCACAGAGGGCGGCCGCGGCCTCCGAGGACTTCTGCAAGCGCCTGCGGCTTGGCAACTGCGCCCTGGAGGCTCTGGTGCTGCCTTTCTTTTGCGCGGCACCTTGAAGGGTCAGGGTTCCAGGTTTAGGGTTTGTGGATTGTAAGAAGTACGTAGTTCCTTGTCTTGACATGAGTTAGTTTCAAGTTTGCCAATATCTCGTGAAGATCTTGTGAGCCCAGATTGCCGGCATACAACCAAAGCCCGTGCTGAACAAAAGATTTAGGGTTTAGAGTTTGGGGGGAGGTGATGAAAATTTTGGTTTTTGGTTTTGAATCTGAAGTGTCTGTTTCTTAAAGCTGAGGTTGCTTTTAATTTACTTGGTGGCCGTTTCGGGGATTTTTAATTTTTTGGTGTTTTGTGGGGTTCATTGCATACAACCAACTGCAGCCTTCAGGCTCGAGGGGTCAGACCAGGCATCAATCCAACCAGGTGTTTCCAGTGGAAACACCTGGTTGGAGTTGATGCCTGTCGGGGGATGCACGGACATCCCTCACCCCTGCAAGATGTCTGTGGTCCCACCACCGACATCTTGCAGGGGTGAAGGATGTGCGTGCATGAACCCCGACCGAGGCCCCAGCGTGCATGGATAGAGACATCCATCACCCCCGCAAGATGTCTGTGGTCCCACCACTGACATCTTGCGGGGGTGAGGGATGCCCGTGCATCCCCGACCGAGGCCCCAGCGTGCATGCACAGACCCAGAACAATGCACCAGGCTCGGTCAGACCCCAGCATGCATGCACAGACCAATGCACGAGGCTCGGTCAGACCCAGAACAATGCACCAGGCTGGGTCAGACCCCAGCATGCATGCACAGACCCAGAACAATGCACCAGGCTCGGTCAGACCCCAGCATGCATGCACAGACCAATGCACGAGGCTCGGTCAGACCCAGAACAATGCACCAGGCTGGGTCAGACCCCAGCATGCATGCACAGACCCAGAACAATGCACCAGGCTCGGTCAGACCCCAGCATGCAGGTCCAGGCTCAGTCAGTCAGACTACAGTAGGTGGTGGCTCCAAGGCTCCCAGGCTGCCAGGCTCAAGGCCCACCCCTAACCCGTGCCGCCATGTCTTCATGGACTTCGTCGTGATCACTCTTCGGCTGTGGCCGCAGCCGCAGCCGCAGCCTCAGGGGGGGGGGGGGGCAGGACGAGAGCAAAAATCATGTTATAGCATGACATGCAATGACAGTCAGCTGCTTTGACTTGCGATTCCTGTCACGGCGGCTCCCAGGCACTTTAGGCTCCCAGGCACTTTAGGCTCCCAGGTTTCAGTCAGTTCCACTGAGGTTTTGAACGCCTGCCGACGGCCGCCGCGGCTCTGCGAAGACAAGCCGCCAGTTTTGCATTTACCCATGGAGTGTTGCATGCATGCCTTGAGTGTTTGCCGTGCACCACATGCAATCAGAGTCAGCTGCTTTGACTTGCGAGTGTTGCCACTGGAGTGTTTGCCGAGCACCACATGCAATGACAGTCAGCTGCTTTCAGTTTAGGCTCCCAGGCACTTTAGGCTCCCAGGTTTCAGTCAGTTCCACTGAGGTTTGAACACCTGCCGACGGCCGCCGCGGCTCTTCGAAGACAAGCCGCTCTCTCTCTCTCACACGGACTCGGGGGAGAGAGAGAGAGCGGCTTGTCTTCGAAGAATGTTTGCCGTGCACCACATGCAATCACAGTCAGCTGCTTTGACTTGCGAGTGTTGCCACTGGAGTGTTTGCCGAGCACCACATGCAATGACAGTCAGCTGCTTTCACTTTAGGCTCCCAGGCACTTTAGGCTCCCAGGCACTTTAGGCTCCCAGGTTTCAGTCAGTTCCACTGAGGTTTTGAACACCTGCCGACGGCCGCCGCGGCTCTTCGAAGTTTGAAGACGAGCCGCCAGTTTTGCATGCACCCGTGGAGTGTTGCATGCATGCCTAGAGTGTTTGCCGTGCACCACATGCAATCACAGTCAGCTGCTTTGACTTGCGAGTGTTGCCACTGGAGTGTTTGCCGAGCACCACATGCAATGACAGTCAGCTGCTTTCACTTTAGGCTCCCAGGCACTTTAGGCTCCCAGGTTTCAGGTTTCACTCAGTTCCACCGAGGTTTCCTGCCGAAGGCCGCCGCGGCTCTTCGAAGACAAGCCGCCAGTTTTGCATTTACCCGTGGAGTGTTGCATGCATGCCTAGAGTGTTTGCCGTGCACCACATGCAATCACAGTCAGCTGCTTTGACTTGCGAGTGTTGCCACTGGAGTGTTTGCCGAGCACCACATGCAATGACAGTCAGCTGCTTTCACTTTAGGCTCCCAGGCACTTTAGGCTCCCAGGTTTCAGTCAGTTCCACTGAGGTTTGAACACCTGCCGACGGCCGCCGCGGCTCTTCGAAGACAAGCCGCTAGTTTTGCATTTACCCGTGGAGTGTTGCATGCATGCCTAGAGTGTTTGCCGTGCACCACATGCAATCACAGTCAGCTGCTTTGACTTGCGAGTGTTGCCACTGGAGTGTTTGTCGAGCACCACATGCAATGACAGTCAGCTGCTTTCACTTTAGGCTCCCAGGCACTTTAGGCTCCCAGGTTTCAGTCAGCCCCACTGAGGTTTTGAACACCTGCCGACGGCCGCCGCGGCTCTTCGAAGTTTGAAGACAAGCCGCCAGTTTTGCATGCACCCGTGGAGTGTTGCATGCATGCCTAGAGTGTTTGCCGTGCACCACATGCAATCACAGTCAGCTGCTTTGACTTGCGAGTGTTGCCACTGGAGCGTTTGTCGAGCACCACATGCAATGACAGTCAGCAGCTTTCACTTTAGGCTCCCAGGCACTTTAGGCTCCCAGGCACTTTAGGCTCCCAGGTTTCACTCAGTTCCACTGAGGTTTCCTCCGACGGCCGCCGCGGCTCTTCGAAGACAAGCCGCCAGTTTTGCATTTACCCGTGGAGTGTTGCATGCATGCCTAGAGTGTTTGCCGTGCACCACATGCAATCACAGTCAGCTGCTTTGACTTGCGAGTGTTGCCACTGGAGTGTTTGCCGAGCACCACATGCAATGACAGTCAGCTGCTTTCACTTTAGGCTCCCAGGCACTTTAGGCTCTCCCAGGTTTCAGTCAGTTCCACTGAGGTTTTGAACACCTGCCGACGGCCGCCGCGGCTCTTCGAAGACAAGCCACCAGTTTTGCATGCACCCGTGGAGTGTTGCCCCTGGAGTGTTTGCCCAGCACCACATGCAATGACAGTCAGCTGCTTTGACTTGCGAGTGTTGCCGCTGGAGTGTTTGCCGAGCACCACATGCAATGACAGTCAGCTGCTTTGACTTGCGATTCCTGTCACGGTGACTCCCAGGCACTTTAGGCTCCCAGGCACTTTAGGCTCCCAGGTTTCAGTCAGTTCCACTGAGGTTTTGAACGCCTGCCGACGGCCGCCGCGGCTCTGCGAAGACAAGCCGCCAGTTTTGCATTTACCCATGGAGTGTTGCATGCATGCCCAGAGTGTTTGCCGTGCACCACATGCAATCACAGTCAGCTGCTTTGACTTGCGAGTGTTGCCGCTGGAGTGTTTTCCGAGCACCACATGCAATGACAGTCAGCAGCTTTCACTTTAAAGGCTCCCAGGCACTTTAGGCTCCCAGGTTTCAGTCAGTTCCACTGAGGTTTTGAACACCTGCCGACGGCCGCCGCGGCTCTTCGAAGACAAGCCGCTAGTTTTGCATTTACCCGTGGAGTGTTGCATGCATGCCTAGAGTGTTTGCCGCGCACCACATGCAATCACAGTCAGCTGCTTTGACTTGCGAGTGTTGCCGCTGGAGTGTTTTCCGAGCACCACATGCAATGACAGTCAGCAGCTTTCACTTTAAAGGCTCCCAGGCACTTTAGGCTCCCAGGTTTCAGTCAGTTCCACTGAGGTTTGAACACCTGCCGACGGCCCGCCGCGGCTCTGCAAAGGCAATCCGCGAGTTTTGCACGCACCCGTGGAGTGTTGCCAATGGAGTGTTTGCCGAGCACCACATGCAATCACAGTCAGTTGCTTTGACTTGCGAGTGTTGCCGCTGGAGTGTTTGCCGAGCACCACATGCAATGACAGTCAGCTGCTTTGACTTGAAATTCCTGTCACGGTGGCTCCCAGGCACTTTAGGCTCCCAGGCACTTTAGGCTCCCAGATTTCAGTCAGTTCCACTGAGGTTTTGAACACCTGCCGACGGCCGCCGCGGCTCTTCGTGAAGGCAAGCCGCCAGTTTTGCATGCACCTGCGGAGTGTTGCATGCATGCCTGGAGTGTTTGCCGTGCACCACATGCAATCACAGTCAGCTGCTTTCACTTGCGTTTCCTGTCACGGTGGCTCCCAGGCTCTTTCAGGCTCCCAGGTTTCAGGCTCCTGAAGCAGGAGTCAGACCAGTTCCTGGGTTAGCATATGTCAAGCAGCGCGGACAGTGACATCATGGCTGCATTGAAGCTCCGAGCGAAGGCGGTCGAGTCCACGGACACCGCCGCAGCTGCGGCTGCACAGCCGTCCGAGACGGTGGATTCGGAGGGCTTCACAGTGGTCTCAGATCCCGCCAAAAAGGAGGACCAGGAGGAGCAGCAGCAGCCTGGCTCGGGATCGACTTCGTTGGCAAGGGCCAGTGACGATGCCACTTCGTCGGATGTCGGCGAGAACATCCCACAAGTCCTTCAGTCCATGATCAAACCGGCGATGCTGCGCTACAAGGCTACGGATCTCCAGTCCCACTATATGCACATTGGCTTAAACGACTGGGAGTTCAAGTTAGATGTTACATTAATTATTTGGTTTATTGCTTTGAACTTATAATTAATCAGTTTTTTATTTTAATAATTATTATTATTATAGATCCTCCAGGCACCTGAAGCAAGCGCCGGACCTGCTGAGAGACCGTTACGACACGAGTGAGCAGTTCACGTGGGCACTGGCAGGGTTCAATGCGTATCGCAGCTCATTCTACCCAGACGGCAGTTTTTCCGACAATTGTGGCATCATAGCATGTACCTCGGCAGAATAACATTAAAATTTAATTTAATAATATAATAATTAAATAATTAATTTAATTTAGTAATCATAATAATTAATCATATTATTATAGTAGGTTGTAGTTTAGTTTTTCATTTGAATTGTTCTGAAGATCGTGTCAACTCAGATTTCCCGTGGGAAGACATGGAGGTTATGCCCAAGTTGCAGAGCATCGCGACGTCCATGCCGCCGCAGAATGCAACGCCGCAGGTGTACTCTGTTGTACCTGAGCCTGATGAAGTTATTAATTAACTTAAATCTGTGAATGAATGTAATTATTATTAATTGCACTGAGGTGGCGTGCTGCATCCGGGAGCTTCTGGATCAGTTTCTCTATGCGCCTGACGAAAAGGTGGTCCGCATCCTCTTGTTCCCATACATAGCAAACGGGGCTGCGCGAGGATGTATGTTGAATCGCTTCGAACCCTGGCTAGGCTAGATCGAAGTTGGAGTAACAGATTGT